CCTCACCAGAACATTCCTGCTGGAGACAAAAGCGTGAATCTCTTCTGTCCAGATGGCTCTCTTCAGGACATTTCTGGGATACCACATTAGTTCTCCTTTACAGCCTATCCAAGATGCCTGGCTCTCTCAGACCATGCTAAGTACCAACTACTGTAACCTCAGCAAGGTATGTTTTTTTCTCAGTTCTGGAAGTCCAATAACCCCTCCCTGGAGTTCATTTAGATTCAGATGTGACTAGCACTTGCCTGCCAAAATAATCCAAGTTGAAATGGGCATACATTTTGGGTGAAAACTAAGCTATAGTATATAGGTAAGGAAAAACTATTGCTACAAGGTGCTATAAAGTAGGTTTGTCACTAAATAAAAATTCTCAGCAGACTTTTGATGGTTGTGATCTATCAAGTGAATAAAGATTTTTCTAACAGTATCATTTATTCTAATACTCTTCTTTTTTTTTTTTAAACACAGCTTTCACCAAAATTAGACTATAGTAAGCAGGAATAAGAAAAACGATTTATCGATGCTGGGTCTGGTGGCACAGCCCTGTAATCTTAACACTTGTGAGATATCAGCAGGAGGATCAAAAACTTAGGGCCAGATGGGCTACACGGCCAGTTTGAAGCCAGCGTGGACTAATAAACAAACAAACATTTACCAAGATAATAACAAAGATACAAGAAGCTAACTCATGCAGAGATAATGTTAAATAATTCAACAATTACCTTTAAGCAATGCCTTCTACCGTCCTATACAGCAACATAACAATCCAAGTCATTTAGTTACACATTTGCTGAGAGGAATTGATATTATATAATCCAAATCTACTGGAGTTTTATATTTTTGAAAAATAATCTGATGAATTCAAAGCCATAAAACAAGGGAGGGGCGAGGAAAGAAGGATGTGAAACAGATGGCATCTGATTTTTCCCTTTAGTCCATCTTGAACACAATCCCAATAATGTCAAAATCCAATTTAGCTTTCTAAATAAGTAATCTATAAAACTTAAAATGGTAATTCTCAAGTAAATTCACTCTTTTTTCTTCCCAGCTTCTCAGAGATTCTATATTAGGCACGAATGGGTAGAGTTAGCTATTAAGAGAAAAACTATCATTTTACAAATTCAAGGTTCTTCCAGGAAAGTCTACTATGTATGTAAAAACACTGAAGAAGTTTTTTTTATCAAAAATTGGTCATACTGAAATCTAGCTATGGGGGCTGGAGAGATGGCTCAGTTCTTCCGGAGGACCAGAATAAATTCCCAGCACTCATATGTCAGCTAACAACGGTCTGGTCTGTAAGACCAAGATCTGGCCCCCTCACATACGCATGCAGACAAAATACCAAGGCAAATAAAATAAAAATAATCTTAAAAATTCTAGCTACATTGTCTTTTTTCTTAATATAAAGATTACTTAACTTGATAAGAAGCTAATTATTTCATTAAAATATACTGTTAGAAACAAGCTCAGGAGAGAACAGTCATGTGGATGAAGTAAAAAAGTATTTTCTGGATCTTTAAAAAAATTTTTATAGTGCATCAGTGAGAAGGTGTCAGATAACTTGGACCTGGAATTACAGACAGTTGTGAGCTGCCATGTGGGTACTGTGAATTAAAGAGCAGTCCATGCTCTTAACTGCCGAGCTATCTCTCCAGCCCCTTAAAATAACTTTTAACATTCCCACAATAACTCTTTTAATCATGATTTAACAGAACCACAATACAATTAACTACTTTGCATATTCTATGATTCTACTATATGTTGTGTACATACAAATGTATATATGTGCGTATGTTTCCCTATATATACCTCCAGTATCATGTCTAAATTTCTAAGACCATCAGAGACATGCTCAAAGGAGAGTCAGTAGTTTTAAAATTCCCTCACAAGCAAATTACATAACTGACAACTGCAAAGGTCTTTGGATTGGTCACATATTTTATGTGGAAAAGATAACCAAAGAAAGTACCTCCAACACTTTTTTGCATGTATGGAAGATAATTTAGGCAGAACTTTCATGTCAACAGTTATTATCCTATTCCTTATATGAAAATAAGTGGATTATTAACATTTTATTTAAAAGGCAGGTTAAAAAAATAGGCACTGATAAGAGCAAAGACAATGTGATCTCAACTTTAAGATTCAAAAAGTCATGAAAAATAAGAATTCAAAAAACATAGCAAAACCCTAGATTTATATTTAAGACTGCTCCCTAAAAAGGGCCATTTAAAATTTTTAATTATTTTACCAAAAATCCCCAACTATAGCAAAACATAATTTCAACTCGACTTAAAACAGAGATATTGAATATTTCTCTTGATTTTACAAAAAATGTGTAAACCTCTCTGAAAGGTCACACCTGATTGAAAACCTCGTACCTACTTTTCATGCAAAATTTTAAAGGGAGTTATTTATATTCAGCCTCTTTTGAATACAAAGTACATTTAAAATGTTTCAAATTACTAACCACAAAGAAAACCTGTTAGTTAAAAATCTGACAGAAGCTGGGTGTGGTGGTGCCTGCTTTTAGTCCCAGCGTTCAGGGAGCAGAGGCAGTTGGATCTCTGTGAGTTCCAGGTAAGCCTGGTCTTCCAAACCGACCAAAGCTACAGTAAGACCCTTTCTCAAAGAGAAAGAAAAGCCCAAGATAATAAGTTACATAGAACTATTATTTTAAATCCACAAGGCAAATAAGTATATATCAAGATTTCATTTTCTAAATTATTTCTACGTTCTGATGACTAATGATTTAAAGGGAGAAATTTATTGTATTTTCATTTATTTTACAGTTTATATGTAAGAATTCTCTAGGTGAGGTATAGTTGTAATCCCAGCTCTTAAAGGAAAAGAGTGTCTCAAGATCAAGGTCAGCCTGAGTTATATGCTAAGACTGTTTCAAAAAACAAAACAGAATTAAATTAATTTTTCCTAATACTATAAACTAAATCTAACTAAGATGACTCATGCAAGTGATGTTGACCTTAATCTTAAAATTACAACTACTTTCTATTTTATGTTCCAAGTCTAACAGCCTTTAAGAAGACATGATGTTAAAATTTAAATAAGTTACTTATAAACGTGGTTTTTTTTTTTTTTTACTTCAATCCATATATAACTGTGGTTTATCTGAGAAATATCTATAAAATGTACTTCGGTCATTTCAAGATAAAAAACATACAGTATTTACTACATGTTTTAAGAAAATATTGAAGCTAGGCAGTGGTGGTTCACCCCTTTAATTCCAGTACTCAGGAGGAAGAGGCAGTCAGATTTCTGTGAGTTCGAGGCCAGCCTGGTCTATAAGAGCTAGTTCCAGGACAGGCTCCAAAGCCTGTCTCGGAAAAACAAACAAAACAAAAAACAAACAAACAAAAACACAAAAAGAAAAAAGAAAGAAAAAGAAACCCCTCAAATTCTTGTTGCGTTCTCTTTTAACATTACCATCCAGTTCCCTTTTCAAAATCCCCTTCCACTAAGTTGGGCTACTCTAACTACGTAATGACAATCTTGAAATTCAAAGGTGTTTGTTTTAAATGGAGTTATATAAATAATCACTTCTCTTATAACACTGATTAAAATTTAACTCCTATTTGTGAAGAGACTGAAACTCTACTATAGTCTATGACTTGACCAAGGTCAACAACTCGCAAGAGGCACAGACTGATTCATTCCCAGAATTATCTTTCTCAAAGGCAACATTTCCACTTGAGTACAATTATCTCCTTAAAAGATTAAGAGGGAGCTCAACAGCGGAGAGGGACTGTCCTCTCTCCAAATGTTCACTTGTTGTTCTAAGACATATACCGCTAAACTACCTACAATTCGGTCAGCTAAACAGAAATGAAGAGAGTATTTCTGATTCGTTTAAACCACAGGTTTACTGGCAGATGAGAAAGAGGCTGGAAAATACTTGCCTCAACATGTCTCATCTAGACCTCTAGTTATATGGATTTGTGTGTGTGTGTGCGTGTGTGTGTGTTTTAAGCATGTACGGCTACGTTTGAATAGATGCTTTCCAGTATTGCACTTTTCCAAGAAAATTCATACCAGATTCATACATATCGGTCCGGGAGACTGCTAGAATATGCCATTCTGGCCATTTGCAAATATCCGAAATACCATCCAGGGGTAACAAACCCAGTTCCACACTCTTTTCTTTTATGATGTGATGCGTGCCCACTTGGGGTACAACCGCTCCTATAGGGCGCCGGGGCGAGGGAGCAATAAAGGAAGAAGCGGGGGAAGAGCACGGAAGTTGGGTGGAGGGAGGTCTCATTACCCACTCTTCTGCCCTAGCTCTGCCAAGGGCGGCTCCGCGATGCCCAGCAGACACGAAACCCCTACAAGTCCTCGAAGCCCGGCTTTGCCCCAGCAGAAAGGGTCCGGTACGCGGACAGTGTGAAGTATGGATGACCACAGCCTCCAAGCAAAGTCCGTACCCTGATTTCGGCCTTGAATGATGCTCCCCCTCCCTCCCCTTTCGGAGCGGGAGCGGGCACTCCAGGTGGGAAACTCCCGGTTTGCGTTGACCGAAGTCTCTGCCTCAGAAAGGCAGCCTCCTGCGACCGGGTCTAACCGGCCACCCGCAACTCTTCGCTCGCAAGGACCCTGGTCCCTCCATCCCGCCCCCGCAACCCGCCACGGACAGGCCCGTGCCCCACCCCGGATCCCGGCGTCCCCCGCCCCGCCCCGGAGAAGGGTCCCCCACCAAAGCCCCTGTCTCTCTTTCTCACACACGCACACACATACGCACACACACATACACATATCTCCTCAGATTGGTCTCCCAGACCCAGTCGAAGCCAGAGCAACTACCTGTATCGGCCGCACTCCGAGGTTCCAAGGGGGCGGGCGCGGTCCCCTCCCCGAGACGCCGAGTGATTCTCACAGCCACCCTTAAAGCGACGGCTTCGCTTTCCCAGGAGCGGGAGGGAGACGAGGAGGCGGAGGGGGGGGGGAAAGGAGAGGAGTTGAGGGGCGGCCGGCGCCAAACCGGAAGTACTAATGATGGCCCCACCCACCTCCAGGAGCCGCAACGCATCCTGGCTCTCCTGATAGGACAAACCCTCAGCAGTCAATGAGAAATTCAGATCACCACTTCCGGGTCGTCCGTGCTGCAGCCCCTCCTTAGCAACAGCGTGGGGTTGCTAAGCGGAAGTGCCTTTAAAGATACCCGCCCCCCATTTCTTCTGGGACTGTTGAGCGGTGGGTCGGGAACTTTGTGTTCTCCTTTGGAAATATCCTTAGACCTTTAATTTGCAGTATTAGACCAAGTAAACGCCTCATTGTCGCAGGTAGTAGACCCATGTGTCTGGTTCCCTCAGCTATTCTCCAACACCAGCGCCAAACTACACACACTTTCTCGCCTCTTCTCGAATCCTAGGCCAACCCGGCGACTCCTCCCAAAGCTCCTCTCTCAGGGCCCTAGTGGGAGTTATTCCTTGTCTAGGAGGCATCTCTCTCTGGTGGATTTCCTGTCGTTTCAACCAGACGTTCGCAGACATTTCGTTCTGAAACGGCCCCAGAAGTCGAATAGAGGGTATGAAAAATTTCGTCTTAGCTTGTTTTCTTTTATTAAAAAAAGGTTTAGCGTATTTATATGTAACCTGGAAATAACGTAGCTATAGCTAAAGGAGGTGGGCGTTCCATGTAAATTGACCAGGGAAAATTTATTCCCTAAAACAACAAAGCAAGACTAAAGAATGCCGGTAACTAAGCTTGAGTAGGAAGACAACGAATCCTTCAGAATAAACCACTATACCTATTCCGTGAACAAGAACGTTGTCCATAAAAAAGTCTTATTAAGGCCGGGGATGTAGTTCTATGGTACAGCACTTGCCTGGCATGGGCAAGGACCTTAGTTCGATCCCCAGGCACTGAAGAAAGCGGGTGGGGGCAGTGGGTGGGGAGCCATACCTAATTTAAAGTGGGCATGGTAAGCAGAGCTGTAATGCTTGGACTCCAGAGGAAGAGAGGGTAGGGAGTACAAAGCCCAGTCTATATGGTGAGTTCCAGTTTTAAAACATTTTCCTTAGCATGCCTCGGGCACTAGGTTCAATCTTACATTTAAAAAACTGGTAAACAATGGTTGGGCAGAAGCCAACAAAATAACCCTCTCTTTATAAAATGACCCGTATAATTACAGTCATTACATTTTAAGAGAAACCTGGGTGGGGGGAACCATCATGAGACTTTATATTTTGAGTCAGGACCTCACTATGAAGCCCGGACTGACCTGAACTGTATAGACCAGGCTGGCCTTGAACTCAAGAGATCCATCCACCTGCTTCTGCCTCCTGAATGCTGAAATTTAAACCATGCATCACCAGGATGGACTGGATTTCCTAACTTTAGCTTCGGAATTTTTTCCCTCCGTGTCAATGAAGACATTTGCAACTGCAGGCCACAATTTTATCGGTCACAAAATTACTGGTAGACTGTTGTTCACCTCAGCTAGGATAGAAAACTAGGTTTGGGGCTTGAGAGATGGCTCAGAGGTTAAGAGCACTAACTGCTCTTCCAGAGGTCCTGAGTTCAATTCCGGGCAACCACATGGTGGCTCACAGCCATCTGTAATGAGATCTGGTTCCCTCTTCTGGCCAGCAGGCATACACAGACAGACAGAACACTGTGTACATAATAAATAAATAAATCTTTAAAAAGAGAAAAGAAAAAAGAAAACTAGGTTTGGTAACTCTGTTCATTTCCTAGACCCATAGGATGACATTAAATTGATTCATCCTAGGTAATCAATTCAGTAAAGCTTTTAGAAAACCACTTTAGCGTCTAATGTACCAGTAGCAGGTTGTTTAATAAGCCTAAAATATTCCCACCTCTGCCATTATCATGTGTGCCTGATAGCATACACACACACCTGGCTCAAAGTGATGAGTGATAAAGCATTCCCAGAGTTTACTATTTCAGTTTCAACAGGTGTAAATATGATCCTTTAACTTGTAAAATAAATACAAATCTGAGGCCAGTGAGCAACAGCTTATGCTAAAGAACGATGGCATGGTTATGGTTTAAAACAAAAACGGGGCCTATAGAAATTACTGCCTCATTAAATAAAATTAAATTATGTTCAACCATGAGCTCAAGCTCATGGAAATGTGCACACCTTTGCAGAGCACAACCACTACTGAGTGCTTTATAAGCAGCATTTAGCTCCTTCCCCTATCGCTTTGGGGCTTTTTTGTTTTTGTTTTGTTTTGTTTGTTTTCTTGAGACGGTTTCTCTGTGTAGCTTTAGAGCCTGTCCTGGAACTTGCTCTATAGACCAAGCCAACCTCAAACTCAGAGATCTGCCTGCCTCTGCCTTCCAAGTACTGGGACTAAAGGTATGCACCACCACTACCCAGCGGGTTTTTTTTTTAAAAAGTCACTTTTCTATTAGTATCTGAAAAACTGGGTTGTGTCCTAAATGATCAAATGAGCTTTTGCAATTCTTTCATTTTCAAATTTGTATTTTCATTTTCAAATGAGTATTTTCAAATACTCATTGCTTGGAGACCTTGAAATATAAGTAGCAAAATCCTAACCTAAAACTACATGTGTGAGTTTAACTATACTTTTGTAATTTTGTAAATAATGTTACAGGAATCCATATTCTTTTATTATTATATTTATTTTGGTGTAGGTGTGTGAATGTGGAAATTAGAATATGTTCAAGGTCCTTCGCTCCTCAACTACATTGATCCCAGAGACTGAGCTCAGGTTGCCAGGCTTGGCGTTAGCAACAATTGCCCTTCCCTTTGAGTTATTCGGCTGGGCTAGGATATATTCTTAATATGAACTGTAGAATATTATATGTATAGGCTAGATCTTAGTTGCCTTCATAAGCCAGTACAATTACCTGTATCATATGATTAGTATGGGACTTTTAGCCTCCTGTCTTTAAATTTACTTTTTTAATTTTATTTTCTTTGTAATGACTTAATGAATTAAGTTGAGCATGGTTCCTGTAATTCTAGCACTTCAGAAACTGTGTTAGGAAGATCGACATGAATTATAACCCAGTCTGGACTAAACAACAAAAAGAGCAAATTTGGGGAGTGGAGAGATGGCTCAGTGGCTAGAACCACTGGCTGTTCCTCTAAAGAACCTTGATTCAATTCTCAGCACCTACGTGGCAGCTCACAACTGCCTGTAACTTCAGTTCCAGGGGATCCATGATACCAGGTATGATGTGGTGCACATATATGTGAATACAGACAAAATATTCATACACATAAAATAAGCAAGTCTTTTCAATAAAGCAAATTTGATGCTTTTTTTGGGAAACTCAGTACCCTGGAGTAACTAGGGCTGAACATTAGTTAGAGTGCTAGGTAGGTAACACACACCTGTATTCTCACCAGCACACAGAAGACAGATTGGGGATCAAGTTCAAGACCACTCTGAGTTATAAACAATAAAACAAAATATAGACTGTTAGAGTTCATCTGGTTTCTCTAAACATTAAAAAACAAAAAACCAAACTTGGGGCTGGAGAGATGGCTCAGTAGTTAAGAGCACTGCCTGCTCTTCAGAAGACCATGGTTCAATTCCCAGCACCCACGTGGTAACACACAACTGTCTGTAGTTCCAGTTCCAGGGGGTCTGACAGCCTCACACAGACACACAGGCCAACAAAACAGCAATGCACATAAAATAAAAATAAACCATTAAAAACAACACCAAACTAGAAATGAATAGTTTATGATGACTACTCAGGGCAAGAAAGAAGAAATTTAGCAAGATTTACCTAAGCAATAATCAACTGAATAGATGCAACAAGTGATTCAGAGAAACTCAGGATATGTGGCAAACAGTAAAACGTTAAACCTGATGAAGAGAAGGCTAAAGATACAACATTTTTAAATAACTGAAAGTTGATATGTGGGATAGCACATTCTTTCAAGAATGGGCCAAGCAGGTCTGGAGAGATGGCTCAGAGGTTAAGAGCACTTACAGGCTTTTCTTCCGAAGATCTTGAGTTCAATTTCCAGCAACCCCATGGAGGCTCATAACCATCTGTAATACAATCTGGTACCCTCTTCTGACATGCAGGCAGAACATAATAAATAATTCTTAAAAGAATGGACCATAAATAGATGGGAGTTAAAACAACTCAAACTCAACATTTTTTTCATTTTACAGTTGTTGAGTGGTAGAACAGTCCATTTATTGAGGAGTTACTGTGACTTCTGACAATCTTCCCATCTGACTTGATGACAGTCTCCTCTATTTCTGTATACTATTCTCAAAGATTTTTTTTAAAAAGGACCAATTATGATAATGTTGGTTGGACAAGACCCTTCTAAAAGAATTTTTCTAAAAGAGTTTATCTGAAGATTCTAACTATAGTAGGATTTATAAGCTGTTTATAGGGAGACCTGTCTCAAAATGGGCTGGTGGGGGACAGAGCAGAAAGGGGCTGGAAAAATGATTCAGTAAATAGAGGTGCTTCCTGCCAAGCCTGAGGACCTGAATCTTTGATCCTACTAGAAAGCGTTGACTCTCACAAGTTGTCCTCTGACCTTTACACATGTTCAACATATCCATACCCATATATATCTGCACACTGTAAGTAAATAAATCCAATAGATCCTACATTTTGGAAACAATTATACACATCAAAATTTGGCTCATTAGGCTCACCAGCATAAAGTTGCTAGTGAAAAAGAGCAAATCAGATTTCAGAGCTATTAAAAACTGACTTTAAAAGACTTGGCTTAGAGGCTGGAGATATGGCTCAGCGGTTCATAGCACTGACTGCTCTTCCAGAGGTCCTGAGTTCAATTCCCAGCAACCACATGGTTGTTCACAACCATCTATAATAGGATCTGATGCCCTCTTATGCAGAGCTCTCATACATAAAATATAAACTTTAACCTACTTCTTAAAATCAAACCTAAATCAGGCAGTGATGGTGTATGCTTTTAATCCCGGCACTTAGGAGACAGAGGCAGGTGAATCTTTTAAGTTCAAGATGAGCCTGATCTACAAAATGAATTCCAGGCCAGCCAGGGCTACACAGAGACACCCTGTCTCAAAAAATAAAATACAAACAACAACAAAACTTACCCATTTGTGTTGGCAAATACCTGTAATCCCAACACTTGGAAAGATGAGGAGGATGATTGTCTCAGGGTCAAGACCACCCTGGGCTACATAGAGAATTTCAGTTCATCCTGAGATTTGGTGAGACCCTCTTTAAAGCTAAAACATGGCTAGAGAGATGGTTCAGTTGCTACTCTTGTAGAAGACCCAGGTTCAGTTCCCAGCCCCTACTTGACAACAATGTATCCTAATTCCAGGTACAGCAGATCTGAGGCCCTCTTCTGGCATCACACACACACACACACACATGCTCCACATACACATATGTACATATGTACATTCAGGCAAAACACTCAAAACACATAAAATAAAAATAAACCTTTATTTAAAAAACTAAAACCACAAACAAAAAAGGAAACAATAAACATAATTTTCAAAGTAATTGGATTAAGAGGTTCTGCTTAGTGTCTAAAATGTAAAAGAAAAACCATAAAGTCTATAATCAGCTGATCTCAAATGATTTGTAAATTGACTTATTTAACACCAATACATTTATTTATATTTGGAAATAAAATAGTATAGATGGTAAGAAACACAAATGGATACTGTATTGTAAAACTGCGCATTTATTTTAAATGTTACACAAAAACATGACTGCTAAGAACATGAATACTTTTGAAAACTGATAGCCTGTCAGTAAACAAAACAAAATGAGAAAATCAGGTATATCAGTTAACATAATAGCACATACTTTTGACCCCAAAAAGCTAGCTTGCTCTACATATTGAGTTCAGGCCACTTAGAGGCTACATAATGAGATGCTGCCTCAAAATAATTAGTATACCTATCTCTTCAATGATCAAATCATCTTGAGAAGTGAAGGGGAGGGCAGTAGTGGCACATGCCTTTAATCCCTGCACTCCAGAGGCAGGTGGATCTCTGTGAGTTAGAGGTCTACAGAGTGAGTTCTAGGATAGCCAGGGCTACACAGAGAAACTGTATTGAAAAAAACCAAAGGGGAATGGGGAAGGAGAGAAAAATGTAGGGGAAATTCTAAGGACTTAAGACATAAAACTTGATTTATAGCATGATTTATCAAATTTTTTATTCTGACTTTAAAAATATAGGCAAAAACCGGGTATGGTGGCAAAGTCTTTAATCACAGCATTCAGGAGGCAGAGGTAGGTGGATCGCGAGTTCAAGATCAGCCTGATCTATAGAGCGAGTTCCAGGACAGCCAGGACTACATAGAGAAACACTGTCTTGGGGGAGAAAAAGAAAAAAAAGGTAATATTTTATGATACTAAACTGAATGTATATCCAAGAAAAATTCTTCTTTTAATGTATCTATGAAATCTTTGTTACTGATTCTGTTGGTATTGTTGTTTTGTTTTGTTTTGTTTTTTTTTGAGACAGGGTTTCTCTGTACAACTGCACTGGTGCACTGGCTGTCCTGTAACTCCATTTGTAGATCAGGCTGGCCTCCAACTCAAAGAGGTTCACCTATCTATGCCTCCAGAGTGCTGGGATCAAAGGTGTGCACCACCCACCCAGCTGACATTTTATCTTTGCCCCCTCCCCCATTTTAAGAAATGGCAAGAGATTAAATTCAGTTAATACTGATTATTTTTAATGTGAAAAAGACTAAGTTGAGTTTTTAAAGCAAACAAGCCATAACAATTTGGCACTATTTCAATAATGAAGTGTCCATAATATGGTATTAGTACAAAGATCTAAGCAAATCTCAAAGACGGTAGATTAGTAATTAGAACATCATGCAATGGTGATTTTAGCAAGGAACTTAACAGGTAAAAGAAGCATCTTATTACATTATAAATTCGAGTATGCAATTATAATTTACAAATTATAAAAATCTTCCCTTTTTACAGCCAGTTGTTTTGAATAGCTACATGAATGCGTAGTCAACAAGTCAAATAAACAAACACATCTACCCATGTTTACATCCCAGAATACCTAAGTAAATTGAAGACATTATTCAGATGAGTAAGTTCTATTCATTTTCGTCATCTGGGTGATCAGGTTGCAAAGGACATGCTCTGTGAAGAAGAGAACTTAAATCACTCAAGTATCAACTGTTGATAAAATCAGAACATTAATAATAAAGGTCTGGCTCAAGTAACTAGAAATGAGAGAAAATTAAACTCTAATAATTAGCAAGTGTAAACAGTTCCAAGAGCTAGCACAACAAAACCTTCTAACACTATTCCTTGTTGCTTCATGGAATCAGCATTTTTCATTTAGGTCATGTTATGAGTTTTACTTAAAAGGAGCCAGGTGGACAGTGTATACCTGTACTCCTAGCACCTCAGGAAGCTGAGGCAGTGGGATTGCCGATAAAGAAAAAGAAGTTTGAGGCTATTCTGGCTTGCATACCAAGTATCAGGTCAGCCAGAACTATGTGGTAAGACTCTGTCTCAAGGGGCTGGAGAAATGGCTCAGCGGTTAAGAGCACTGACTGCTCTTCCAGAGGACCCAGGTTCAATTCCAAGCACCCACATGGCAGCTCACAACTGTCTGAAAATCCAGTTCCAGAGGATCTGACACTTTCACACCAATGCACATAAAATAAAAGATAAATAAATCATAAAAATTTAAAAAAAAAAAGACTCTGTCTCAACAAAATAAGAAACACACCGGAGAGATGGCTCATCCATTCTTTTTGTTGGTTTTTTTTTTTTTTTCCTAGACAGGGTTTCTCTGGTTGTCCTGAAACTTGCACTGTAGACCAGGCTGGCCTCGACTGAGATCTGCCTGCCTCTGCCTCCTAAATGCTGGGATTAAAGGCGTGTGCCACCACCACCACCCAGCTCCATTTTTTAACAGAACAACAGTTTAGTTCCCAGCACATACATCAGGCAGTTCACAACTTCCTGTAACTCCAGATTTTCTCTGGGCCTTACACACACACACAAATAAAATAAATATTACAAAGTAATAAAAAATAAAGAGGCATATTCCGATGTGTAACTCCTACAATGGGAGGCTGAAACACAAAGATTGCTGCAAATTACAAGTCCTGCTTGGATTGCATAGTGAGTTGTGGGACAGCTAGGGCTACAGAGAAAGATTCTACAAATAAATGGGCAGTTCACAACTGCCTGTAACTTCAGCTCCAAGTGAGCCAGTGCTGTCTTCTGGCTACTCAGATACCTGAACTCAACATGCACATACCCATACACATAATTTAAATTTTTAAAATAGAAATATGATTAAGGGCTGGAGAGATGGCTCAGTGGTAAAGAGCAATGGCTGCTCTTCCAGAGGACCTGGGTTCAATTCCCAGCACCCACATGATAGCTCACAGCTGTCTATAACTCATTTTAAAGATCTGACAACCTCACATAGACACACATGCAGGCAAAACATCAATGTACATAAAAATAAATCTTGAAAAAATATTATCACATACATGTATAAAACTGTCAACATTCATTATTAAAATATCTCATTTCCACAACATTGATTTTAATGTTAAGTGGATTGATAAATAGAATATAACCTGTTAATAAAAATTTCTTGATATACAAAGTAAAAAAATCCATTTAAGTAGAAAAAAATAGCTAGCAAATTGCCATATTCTTTGGACTACATGGACATATTCTTTAAAAATAACCCCCAAATCATTTGGTAAGCCATGATAATCACAATATTTGAATAAAGGTACATTAATATTAATCCAAAGCCATTCTGTATTTACCATTCTTTTTATAGTCAATTAAAAACTTTAATCACAATTTTATTTTAGAGTTGACAAACTTTAGTAGTACCTACTCTAAAATCCTTTGCTTCCAAATGAGATTCAGTGAGCCTGAATGGTCATAGGTCAGATACTAAAAGAAGGAAGCTATAACAAGGGTATGAGATTACCCTTGCTTCAAGGTCTTCATTGTATTTTACTGGAAATCAAGATAAGTTAGCAAAACATGACCCAAACTTCCATTTTGCAGGGGTCTGAATTTCATTAGGCATAATAGTTATGTTCAAGATTTATGCTGGGCGGTGGTGGCACATGACTTTAATCCCAGCCCTCGGGAAGCAGAGGCAAACGGATCTTTGTGAGTTGGAGGACAGCCTGGCCTACAAGAACTAGTTCCAGGACAGGCTCCAAAGCTACAGAGAAACCCTTCTCAAAAAAAAAAAAAAAAAAAAAACCAAACAAAACAAAACAAAATTTATGTAAACGAGGCTGAAGCGACTTCTTGATAGGTAAAATGCTTGCAAAGCAAACATAAAGACCTGAGTTCCATCCCCTCAGAATCTACAGTAAAGAGCTGGGCACAATGTCATATGCCTGTAATCTCAGTGCTGGGGAGGCACAGACAGGAGGATTTGAGACTCATTGGTCAGCTAGTCTAGTCAAGTCAAATCAGCATGCTCCAGGTAATTTAGAAAGACATTCTCAGGCTCAAATGGTGGCACATGTTTTTAATCTTAGCACCTGGAAGACAAAAGCAGGTGGATCTCTGAATTCAAGGCTATGCTTGCTGTACTGATCACATGTCAAGATGTGAACTAGCCTACAGCTGCGTCATAGATGAATGAATAAAGAAAATTTGGCACATATACACAATGGAATTTTATTTGGCTATAAAGAAGAGTGAAATTATATTTAGAGACCAGAGAGATGGCTGTGTGGTTAAGAGCACTTACTGCTCTTGAGAAGACAGGAGTTCATATCCAGCACCACATAGGACAGAGCATCCAGTGACCTCTTCTGGTCTCTGTGGGCATTCACACATATGTACATACACGGATAAATAAAAATTTAAGATTTTAATAAAATCTTTGAAAAAATTGACATTTTCAAGAAAATGAATGAAACTAGAGATCATGTTACATTCAGTAACCAATATTTTGAAAGACAAATACTGAATATTTTCTTTCATACACAGAATTTAAATTTAAATATACTTGTACATACATATGTATGTGTAGGAAGACCATCAAAATAGAAAAGGGACTATGAGATGAGGGCACAGTGCAAGAGTGGAGAAAGAATCAAGATAGATGTGATGAAATTCAGAAGCAAGGAAGAGCAAGGGAATGTGCAAAAAGGGTAAGTCAGTACAGGGTAACAAATAAGAACAAAGCATAACAGAGTCTGAAAATGATAATGAGGGCCATTGGATAGTTCAGTGGGTGAAGGCACTTGGCACCTGACAACCCAATGGCGGAAGGAAAGAACTGACTCCTGAAATTGTTCTCTGGCCTCTGAAGAGGCACAAGCACATCACACACACGCATGCACGCACACACACATACACAACTTATAAGTGGGGGAGGGATTGATTTTTATTATTTTTGTTTGTTAACTTTTTTAACTGTAAGCAGTTTTTTTAAGATTTATTATTATTTTATGTTCATTGGTGTGAGGGTCAAATGCCCTGGAACTAGAGTTACAGACAGTTCTGAGTTGCTATGTGGGTGCTGGGAATTGAACCCAGGACCTCTGGAAGAGCAGTCGGTGCTCTTAACTGCTAAGCCATCCAGCCTTGTTTGTTTTTTTGAGACAGGGTTTCACTGTGTTGTGTAGCCCTGGCTTTTCTGGATCTGTCTGTAGACCAGGCTGGCATCGAACTCAGAGAGATCTGCCTGCCTCTGTTTCCTTAGTGCTGGGATCAAAAGTGTGCACTACCACTGTCCAGCTTAAGTGTCAAATAAAACCCACTGCCTTGGATGCATAACTAATATATATATATATATATTAGAGAAATGAAAGAAAAAGAAAATACAAAGCCATTGTGACTAATTTGAAGTCAAAGCCTAGAAAAGAAGGCCAAGGAGATGGCTCACCTGGTAAAGGTGCTTGCCACCAAGCTGATGGCCTGAGTTCAATGGCAGAAGCAAATCAACTCCTGCAGAGTGTCCTCTGGATGTTATACATGTGCCATGGAACATGCCTGCATGCATGTGCACACACCCGCGTGTGTGCTCGCACTCACACATACACTATACTAAACGTAACTTTTAGAAAATGGCTAAAAAGGGGAAAACATTCATGCAAATAGTTCTATGTGCAAAAGGCACTTACCCAGCTTTGGGGCAAAAGCAAGGCTATAAGGAATAACCATAGTAGAATATGAATTCAGAAGTTCACATTCCTTCTGATATATTTATTTACTGTTTCAATAAAGGGATAATCACAATTCTCTAAAACAATAGCAGATTTACAAAAGTGGCTTAAAAATAGTGTCAACCTGTAGAATCTAGCTTTTGTTGTTTTGAGTTTTCTTGTTTAGTTGCTCTGCTCTGAACTAAACCCAGGGATATATGCTAGACAAGTACTCTACCACAGAATTATATCACTATCAATTGTTTTGGGTTTTTGAGACAGTCTCACTATGTACTCTAGGATGGCTTGAACTCATGATCTGTCTCATTTTAGTTAAAGCATGTGTCACCATGACTATTGCTGATTTATATTATATATTAAACTTGTCTATGGAACTATATAATTTCTCTCCATGTGATGGAAAGTCATTTTTTGTCTGGTTTTCATTTGTTTAGAGACAGGGTCTCAGGTAACCCAGACTGACCTGTGTAGCTTTTGAGTATATATGTAAGAATGATGAGTTGTGGAGAGACGGTGTAGGAACCAAGAGCACTTACTGCGTCCTTAAAGAGGACATAGTTCCTTTCTCAGCACCTATATCAGGTGACTCACAACCACCTGCTGCTCCAGTTCTAGGGGATCTGTGCCCTCCAGCCTTCATAAGTACCTGCACATATGTGGTATACATAAACTCATGCAGGCACATACATATATGCATAAATAAAAATATCTTTTTAAAAATTATTAGCTGAACATGGTGTAAAATGCCTATAAATACATTATCTTTTTTGCAGTGGTAAGAGGTTGAACCAAGGGCCTTGTGCTGACAAGCCTTCTGTCACTGAGGTACATCTCCAGGCCCAGTGCATAGCTACAATCTCATCATTATGGAGGCCAAGACAGAAAGATAGAGTACAAGGCTCTAGGTACAGAGTGATTTCAAAGCAAGAGTGGGTTACCAGGTAGAGGGGATTACTCAGGAAGTAGATTCAAACCCATCATTGCCCTAATGTCAGTTACTATACAAACAGCTAAATGCAACCAAGTATGGTGGCTCACACTTCTAACCCATAACCAGAGAGCAGCGAGGTTAAGGTAGAAGGGTTGCCACTTGTTCAAGGTGGGCCTGGGCTACAGAGTGAAACCATCTCAAAAAAATAAAAAAAATAAAATAAAAAAGAAAGAGAGCTGGGTAGTGGTGGAAACAGACTTTTAATCCCAGCACTCCGGAGAGGCAGAAGGATATCTGAGTTCCAGGTCAGCCTTGTCTACAGAGCAAGTTCCAGGTCAGCCAGGGCTATAAAGAGAAACCTTGCCTCAAAACAAAAACCACACACACATACAAAGAAAGAGAGGAAGACACAGAGTTAAGTACAGAGGTAAAGCTTGCCTAATGCTTACAAGTTCCAGAGTTCAATTTGTAGCATAGAGAGAATGGCAAAGGAAAGAAGAGAATTTACAGTAGTTTTCTTATACTTCCTTCCAAAGTACATGTAAAATTTGAAATATTTTCTTATTTCCTAATTACTTTACAGGTCCTGTGGTTTAGTGAACCATAAAGAATACTGAATCTCCATTCCACACTGCACACTTTTTCTCTAGAGCAAAGTGAAATTATTTTCAAGGTGGATTTTTAATGATTCATATTTCATAAACCACATGTAATGAAATCATTAACCAGTTTCAGCGTTGTCTTTCTCTGTTGTTATATGTAAAACTCCAGGAGATTTAAGATTAGTATTCACCATCTAATTAACCCTTGAGATGATCTTCAAGGCAGTCCAGTTTGAGCTTCTCAGAATTTTCTGTTTTACTAAAACCAGTGGGATGAGTAGATGTGAAGACCTGGTTGCTTTCCTTGCAACACTGGATTTGCAGGTGCCACTTGGTCCAATATTAGAATGTGATCAGGTCTGAGGCTCTTAACGGATAAGACACAGAAAGGTAAGCAAGACCCCAAGGAGATTGGTTATAGCTTTTAGGGAGTTGCTGGAGGATTCCACGGTGTCATCGGGGTCATCAGTTTCATAGTAGGTAGGGCCTGCTGTGCTGAATACAGGGATAAATGACTCAATCTGCATGGGGAGGATCACAAGGAGCAATAGCCCCAAACAAAGTCTGACCGCCATCCTCTCACCCTCGATGGTCAGGGTGCCGAGTGTCCAGCCTGCTGCTTGTTGAGCTGGAAGTTCTCTAGGCTTTTGGCCGGTATGGAGATTACAAACCAGGTCTTACTTTCATGAAGACATCACAATGGCAGTGTCATGGTGCCACACCCTCTCTTTCTACACCCAAGTGCTTAGTTTTAGTTTTTTGAAGCAGGATCTTAGATAGTTCAGACTAGCCTCAATCTCACAAATAATTTCCTTTAGAATTAAAACACTTTTTAAAAGGGAATAGTAGGCAAGACATGGAGGTATGCAACTTTAATCCCAGCACTCAGGAGGCAGAGACAAGTGCATCTTTGAGTTCTAAGACAGCCTGGTCTACATAGTGAATTCTTGGCCAGCCAAGGCTACATAGTAAGATCCTGTCTCAAAAAAAGGGGGGGGAGGGGGACTGGAGAGATGGCTCAGAGGTTAAGAGCATTGCCTGCTCTTCCAAAAGTCCTGAGTTCAATTCCCAGCAACCACATGGTGACTCACAACCATCTGTAATGGGGTCTGGTGCCCTCTTCTGGCCTGCAGGCATACACACAGACAGAATATTGTACACATAATAAATAAATATTTTTTAAAAAATTAAAAAGTAGGGGCATTGAAATGGCTCAGCTGATAAAAGTGCTTGCATGTCACTTGAATCTGGACACCTGAGTTCAGTCCCTGACACCCATGTAGAGGTGGAAAGAGAACTGACTCCTGAAAGTTGTGCTCTGCCTCCCCACAGCCTCCATGGTGTGGCCCTTCGCTTCAATACTTATAAACCTATAAGAATTCAAATACGTTTTTTCCCAATTTTTAAAATTTTTTACGTGCAGAGTAATGAAGCTAATGACCTAAACAAGCTAAGTTTTCTCCACTGAGAGCTACATCCCCAACCCCCACCCTCTTTTTGTTTTAAGACAGAATTTGTCTGTGTAGCCACGGCTGTCCTGGAACTCACTGTGTAGACCAGGCTGACTTAGAACTTACAGAGCTCCACCTGCCTCTGCATCCCTAGTGCTGGGATTCAAAGCATGAGCTACCATGCCTGTTTTTGTTTTTGTTTTTTTGTGATTCTTACTAAAGTGATAGATGTTAGAAGTTGTTAGTATGTAGCATGAGATAAGATTTTTATCCAGATATAAAATTATTGATACTTGTTATATTTTTTATAGTGTGTATGTGTGTCTTGCAAAGCAGATTGTACTTTTTAAAAAATATTTTTTACTTTTATATACATCTATTCTATAGATACATGTATGTATGTACATCACATGCTGCAGGAACCCAAATAGGTCAGAAGAGGTATCAGACCCCCTAGAACTGAAGTTACACACAGTTGTGAGCTGCCATGTAGGTGCTGGGAACCAAACCTGAATCCTCTGCAAGAGCAGCATGTTCTTAAGGCCAAGTCATCTCTCTAGTCCCAAATATTATACTTTTTCATCCAGAATTTGAGCTCAACATTTACCACTAGCATTCTCATTCATTAATCTTAAAAACAAGCTGGCATGGTGTTGCCTTTAATCCTGGCATTCAGAAGGGAGATCTCTGTGAGTTCAAGGCCTGCGTAGTCTACATAGTGAATTCTAGGACAGCCAGAGCTACATAAGAGGCCCTATCTCAAAAAACCAAAAAATAATTTTAAAAACTCCAGTCCCAGTTTGAAGAATTCTTAATGATTTATAGAGAATATAAAAATATGTACTATATATTATTGGTTGTATACTAAATATAGTATATTTCTATAAAGAGTTATTTCTTATTCCTTTCTCTATGTTAATTGTATATTTCTTGTGAAAGTTCAACATACAGTATTACTACTTGTTTTGGTACTGGAGACTAAACCTAGTACTGCATGCAAACTGAGTATCGGACTTAGACTGAGCTATACACAGTAGTAGTTTTGTGGAGTATAAGGGGCTTAATGTAATTCACTAGATGAACTGACATAGAAGTTTGCTTATGGAAAAAAAGAAAAACAGGCAGAAAAAAGAAGCAAGTAAAACGAGGGAAGAGAGGGAAGGAGGAAGGCAGGCAGACTATAAAGTGTGGTAGCGCATGCCTCTCAGCACTTAGCAGGCTGAGGCAGAAGAATTACAATAAATTCAAGTCTATTCTGGGCTACACACAGAGACTGTCTCAAAAAACAAAACAAGCCTGGTAATGGTGGTGCACACCTTTAATTCCAGCACTTGGGAGACAGAAGCAGGTGGATTTCTGTGAGTTCGAGGCCAGCCTGGTCTACAGAGTGAGTTCCAAGACAGCCAGGGTTGTTAAACAAAGAATCCCTGCCTCAAAGGAAAAAAAAAGCAAAAACAAAAACAAACAAAAGCAAAAGAGGAATAATAAATAAATAGGAATCAAGTAAAAATTAATTTTTGAAAGGCATTTGAAATTTTAGAGCGACATAAAAATTATTAGAAGTTAAAGCATAGTTTTCCTTTTCTTATTGGCTTGAAAAGAAACTTTAAAATTACTCACGATCCCTTTTTTTTTTCATTTTTAGGGGGATATTTTCTGTCTTCCAGAACACACTTACTTTCTCTTTGATGTTCCTAAGCCACTGCATCCTGCTTCCTCAGGAACCTGGTTCTCTTTTTCACGATCTTTAGGAGACAGCCTGAAGAATTCTCCAATGCCTTTTTGCCACTTTGGAGTTGGGCGCACACAAACTGGATTCCCTCCTGCATACTTATTTTCAGCTATAAAACAGAAACAGAATTAAATAAAATCAAATGTAATTGTTTTTCTTTAATAACAGATTCCTAGAGGTATTAAGTAATATAATATAATATCCGCCTTGAATTAGAAAATGAAGGTTGGAGTGATGTTCAGTGGTAAAGAACCCTAGAGTATTCTAGTAAAGAATACAAGAGTGGGGCTGGAGAGATGGTTCAGAGGTTAAGAGCATTGCCTGCTCTTCCAAAGGTCTGAGTTCAATTCCCAGCAACTACATGGTGGCTCACAACCATCTGTAATAAGATCTGGTACCCTCTTCTGAACTTCAGGCATACATGCAGACAGAATAGTGTATACATAATAAATATTTTTTTAAAAAAGAATACTAGAGTTTGGGCTGGAGGGAACTGAGTTCCACAAATTGTCCTCAAGTTCAGTATATGTGTGCAAATCCATGTATATATGAACACACACACAAACACACAGACAATATATATAACAATAAAAATAATTTGGAATGAGAATACTATAATTTCATATATTTTTAACATTAAAAATACAAATCTATGACCATTTTTATTTTGTTGGCGGGGGGGGTGAGTCAGTATTTCATATACAAGCATGTGCCACTCTACCAAGCCACTTCTTGTTTAGTTGATTATTTTTGTGTTGCTAGAACCCCCTGGCACACCTGGAACTTACTTGGTAGCCCAGGCTGGCTCTGACTATACAGTAGTCCTGCCCCGCTTCCAGAGCACTTAGGATTGGAGTCATGCACCTCTTTGCCAGGCTGTTTAACACATATTAAGGACCTATTCAGTTAGCCCTAGTGATTAAGCAGTAGGCCAGACAATGAGAAGTGGCCTTGAAAGAATTTACCCTAGTTGTACAAAATATAAGACATTCTGAATAATTTTATCTACTTTCAAAAATGTTGTCTACTATGTTATCTGAAGAGGTGGAAATAGTAAATATTTCCTAATGAGATATTTAGATTTGGTGGAAATTGAGGGCTGAGTATGGTGTAGTACATGTCCGTACTCCTAGCACTCCAGAGACTGAGGCAGGAGAGAATTACAGCCACTCTGGCTAAATACACATAAAGGTCCTATCTCAAAGAAATAATGGTGTGTGGTGGGGAGGAGTAGGGATTGGGTTGGCATAAACCCATGAATTATTGAGTATGGTGGCTAACTCCTGCAATCCTACTTACTCAGAAGTCTAAAAGCAGGAGGGCTTTAACAGCAGCCTGGGCAACAAACCAAGGATCCCATCACCAAAAAAAAAAAAAAAAAAAAAAAGAGAGAGAGAGAAGGGGAATGGGTTGTGGATTTGGCTCAGTAGAGTTGCCTAGTATGCACAAAGCCCCAGCACAAAATAAACCTGGCATCCAGGGCACATGCATGTAATCCCAGAATTAGGGAGATAGAGGCAGAAGGATCAGAAAGAGGGCCGATCTGGAGTTCAAGGTTATTCTCTGTATGTAGAGATTGAGGCCAGATTGGGCTACATGAGACCTTGGGAGAAGGAAAAGGGAGAGAAGGAGGGAGAAGGGAAGGGAGGGGGGTGGAAGAGAAGAAGAACAAGGGGAAGAAAAAGGGGCACAGAGAGGGAGGAAGAGAGAAATACAAACAGAAGCAAAAAGATAAATTGTATTGAGACAGTGTGGTTAGAGCACTTGTCCAACATGTGCAAGGGCCAGGGTTCAGTTCCCAAAAAGTTCACAGACAACTAGATAGACAAGCAGTACACACACACACACCTACAAAAAATGTGGCAATACTGTTAGCTGTCACTCTAAATCTAATGAGGAGGCACTTAAGTAACCTCCAAGAAAATAGTAACTGTTAATATTAAGAAAAACTAAACACCATTCAACAAAGAAAAATAGATTTAAAAATAAACCTCCCTCACATCCCTAAACAAGCCTGTTGAGAGTCCAAGGCCCCCTTAGAGGGTAAGGAAGAAATTTAGGAGTGAGGATGACAAGGGAAACAAATTCCAGAGGAAGATTAAATAAAAATGAATTCACAGAAGTCAGGGTCTCACAATTCGGGACTGCTATGCCAGGCCTGATCTCCTTTCGGGGTTTTATTTTACTTCCTAAGCTTCCGGGACCGTTCCTACCTTTTCTCGACGAACACGATGAAGAATTGGTGACAAAGGTGGAGGAGCCAAGCACCTTCCTGGGAGCTCGAGAAGCCACCACTGCAAAGAGAGGTAAAGGGGAGCATTCAGAAGAGGCTGTAGAGCTCGGACCCCCGACCTTTGTTCTACCAGTCCCAGCCTAGCGGAGAGCAGAGTGATGCACAACAGCAAAACGGCCTTGCCAGGCCTACGCAGCTTCCTTGAGGTGAGGGCCTGGAGCCCGATGTGGGGGGGGGGGGGGTGGATAGCCAGGGTGGCTCCATCCTAGGGACAGGCAGCCTGGGGAACCTATAGCCCCCATGCTGCATCCCTTTACCTTTTCTGTAGGCTCCCGGGACGCAGTTTGCTTTGGTCCGCACCATGTTCACACAAGAAGAGACAATTCGCACCAACGCCCCAGCTGCGGATGTCTTAAATGAACAAGAACCCAAAAATGACGTTCCCGCCACAGTTTAAAAGGGTCTCTTTCCCGCGCGCTCCAAGCTCTTGAGAATCGTGACTCTTATTGGTTCCGCGCCTTCACCCTGAACCAATTGGCAGCTTCCAGCGAGTGACAGCCTCGAGACCAGGCTTTGCTGGCCAGTCCATCAGCCCTAGGGATCGTGATTCATACACACTCGTGGTAGGCGGAGCCAGGACGCTCCAGGGGTGCGCCAAGTGTGGGCGCGGAGGTAGGTTGTGAACTAACTAGCCAAGTGAGTCGGCATATAAAATAAAACCTAGTAAAGTTTGGAATTGTAATATTTCTTCAAAAGTTATCACAGAGTTAAATCCATGGTGATTAAATCCTGAAAATTGAAATTAAGTGGACTTTTCGATGCAAATCAAAGCTAACGTTTCATATCCTAAGGGTGAACTCTGCCATGCTTTAACTTTCTGAGGTGGGAGAAAAGAGAACGCAACTTAGGTTTTTACAGTGTTTAAAAAAAAAAGTTTTCAGATCACATAAGACTGGGGGGAGGAAGGGGAGAGGAAGGGAGGGAAGGGAAGGGAAGAAGAAGGAGAAAAAGAGCAGAAACAAAAAAGAAAGAAAGACCACAAAAAGTAGAGGAGAGATGGCTCAGCCATTAAGAGGGTGCTGTTCCAGAGGCCCCCAAGTTCACAGATTCAATTCCCAGCACCCACAAGGCTACTCACAACTTTCTGTAACTCCAATTCCAGGGCGATCTGATACCCTCACACAAAAAATACATGCAGGCAAAATACTAATGCACATAAAATAAAAATAAATCACTAAAAAAGGAAAAAAGGAAAATAATGAAAGATTTAGGTAGTCATTGGATTAACATCATAATATTAGCAATAGTAGTTTATCGTAACCCTGGAGTGTTAGATTACAGTCAGATTCCCACCAGAAAAATCAACAAGCATTCCTTCATTGTCATTTAGCCTCATGAAAATGCACATTGGTTCTTAAGTGGCATTGTTTCCTTTTAAGTTAAAGGCCTTCTACTCAGATCTGAATTGCTTAGTTGAACTCACATTCCAGAGTTCTACAGAGAAAGAGGATCTAGAGGATGTGTCTTTTCTCTTGTGTTTCAACCAAATGACTAGAAAGAATGTCAAACATACCTCTTCATATGAGGACAATCTATGTATTATCGTAGTTGTGATTGTTTTTTGTTTGTTTGTTTGTTTGTTCTTTTAATACCAATGGTATTAATGAGGGATGCACGTTAGAGAAAAACACACACAAAAAAGAATGAACTTTCCAAACGTTTTTAGTTAAAATGGCTACTTTGGGAGCTGGGAATGTGGCTCAATTGGTACAGCACTTGCCTAATATGCATAAAACCCTTAGTTTGCTCCCTAGCACCATGTAAAGATAGGCATGATGGAGCATGAGTGTAATCCTAGCATTTGGGAAGCAGAGGCAGGTGGATCTCTGACTTTGAGGCCAGCCAGAACTACACAAAGAAACCCTGTTTAAAAAAAAAAAAAAAGTTCAAGGGTAGATTCAAGGCTAGCCTGTTTAGAAGGAAGGGAGGAGGAAGATGATGATTGGCCCGGAGGCAGAAGGAGGAGGATCACACCCCCCCTCAACCTGGTCTACATGGAGTTCCAGGACAAAACAAAATAAAAAGATTGCTTTAGAAATGTACTTTTTTACAATTAAACAAAACAGAATTGTGTGATTTAAAGATGAGAATCGTGACAACCTGAGGCATAACACATTAAGAAAAGTTGTAGTAGGGCTGACAAGATGACTCAGCAGGTGAGCACTCCTGCCACCAAACTAGACGACTTAGTTCCATCCCAGGAGCCACAGGATAGAAAGAAAGAACTGACTCCTGAAAGTCGTCCCCTGACCTCTACATGGGTTTCACAGCACCCACCCAATTACAACATAAATGTCTCAAAGAAAAAAGGAACAGAAAAGTTGTAGTATGTATGTATTAATAGAATTTCTGTCTAAACTTATACTTTGCTACTGAAGATGTGACTCGAGGGCTCACATATGTTAAGTACAGTCTTTATCACTAAGCTACTAAGCTATGGGAATGAATATATATAGAAAAAGATAGATGATTTGAATATACTAGAATAATGAATGTATCAGATTTTTATGAAAAGATTAAATTTATTCTCACCATTAATGAACATTGACTGTATTTTGCTTTTTTAGAAAAGCTGGTGAGTCAGCCAAATAGTGTAGAAGGTAAAGGTTCTTGCTGCCAAGCCTGACCACCTGAGTTTAATTCTCAGGACTCATGGTAGAAAGGAAGAGCTCACTCCCACAAGTTGACCTCTGACTGTCACTTGTACATTGTGCATTTGTGGTAGCCCACAGCATATACTAACATGGGCAAACACACTAATACAAAATATGATAATATTTTAAATATTTATTTTACGTATATTGATGTTTCGTTTACATATACGTCTGCAGACCAGAAGAAGGCACCAGATTCCATAGATCCTGTGGCGTTGAAGGTGTGAGCTGCCTTATGGGTTCTGGAAATTTAACTCAGGACGTATAAAAGAGCAGCCAGTGCTCTTAACTGCTGAGCCATGTCTCCAGTCCCAATATGATAATTTTTTAAGACAGGGTCTCACTAGTAACCCTGGCTAGCCTGGAACTTACTACACAGACCAGGCTGGCCTTGAACTCACAAAGGTCCACCTATCTTTGCCTCCTAGAGTGCTGGGGTTAAAAGCATGTACCACCATGCCCAGCTAATGTAATTTATTTTCGTAAGTTTTTTTCTTTTAATTGTGTATGATTAAGTGTTTGCTTGTGTGTGCACCACATGGAAGCCTGGTGCCTATAGAGGCCAGAACTGGGTGTAGGAGTCCCTGGAACAGGACTTCCCGATGGTTGTTAGCCTTCAAGTAGTGTAACAGTGTAGTCTCAATTACAGATGGCACTAAAAAATAAGCACCGCCATCATCAGAACAAAACTAGTACAGCGATTACAAATAACTCCCGAGGGCTGGAGCTTTTGTTTTGCTTTTTCTGACTGAGGATTGAAACCCAAGATTTTCACATGCTCAGTAGGCAGGGTACCACTGAGCTTTATGCCCAGTCTTCCTTCACCCTACCTCGTTATTTTGAGACAGGACCTCGCTAAGTTACAAAGACTGACTTTGAGTTCACGTCGTACTACAGGCAGGCTTTGGATTTGTTAGCCTCCTGACTAGAGTTGTTTCAAATGTTCTACAATTGGACCAGACTAAAATTTAAAAGTCGTACCCATCCTTTGGGGTTCCACTTTCTTTTATTCCTACTACAGCTCTTCTGGAGGTGTGTATATTGTCAATTACCAATATCCTTTCTGGAGTTACACCTCTAAGTTGAAGACTCACTCAAACGCAGCGGCCCCACACACGTGTAAGACCATCCGGAAGCTGAGAGAAGCCAGAGGCGGTGCAAGTGGGCGGGATGAACCTGAAAGGCGGTGCGACCAAGCGGGGCGGTGCAAGTTTGCGGAACCCTAGTCGTCGAGGTCTCCGTTGCGAAGGGGACTAGTCCAGCGCAGGACGAGACGCTTTTGCAACCCAGCTGGTTCCGGTTGGGAAAGATGGCGGTGGCTGGGGCTGCGTCCCGGGAGCCGCTAGTACGCTGGTGCACTCAGCAGTTGCGGAAAACTTTCGCCCTGGATGTCAGCGAGGAGATCATACAGTAAGATGGGCTCCAGAGCGGATGCGGGAAGCTGCTTGGTGAAACGACCCCGGTAGGACGAAAGCCGGGAGGACTAAAAAGTTGATAAATAAGATAAGCGGGGCTGACGACGGACTTTCTTGTTTGAATTTTGGCCTCCACTTTTTTACTCTAGCCCCTAGATAAGTATGTCAGACTCCACGCGCTTTCCTAGGAAAGTGGCAACATTGTAATAATTAGACCTGAAAGATTGTCCCGGAAACCGGTTGGCTTACAGTTTGTGAGAGAATGAACAAGTCAAGGCTGACTTTCTAGAAATTCCTTACTCTGAACCTTGTAGTTTGTATCAAGCAGGACCTAGAATTTACACGGGGATGACATGTTACAGTATAAATAGTTCCTGATTACAGAGTCACAGCTTCGGTTTTCTGTTGCCACTTAATCAGTTTTGGAACCTTAAACAAATTAATTTACCCCTTTGTAACCCCTTCCCCCATTATGTAGAAACTGAATAATTACTAGAGCTTGCCTTTAGTGTTTTATAATTCTTAACGAAACGTATGCCGATTATTTAATATTTTCTTGAAACGGCTAACTTAATTTGTTGCCCTGTTACTATATACCAGTCTTTGGGACAGCCGAAATGATATAGACAAATTGGGTTTGCTGAGTCGGAGAGTTCTGCGATGTGAGGAAGTTGAGGGTCTTCTGGGAACACAGAACAAACTTTTCAATACTGAATAAACTATTCAATAAAGAATTATTATTCAAGACTCTTAAGATGTTCTGGTAAAGATGCCTCTCACCTGAGAACTAAGTTAGTAGAAGCTGAGGTTCTAAGTATTCATGTGGAGGGGAAGATTACACAGTGAAACTGGAACAAAGTAAAAAGTAAGACTTTTCCTTAATTTGATTCTTTGTTGCTGAAAATAAAATTGCTATTCTAGAATTATAATAAATACAGTCCGGTTCGGAGTTTGGGAGATTTATTTAAAAAAAAAAACAAGGAAGAGTTAATATAGACTGGCTTTTGGAGGGGGGTGGGTTTCGAGACAGGGTTTCTCTGTAACTTTGGAGCCTGTCCTAGAATTAGCTCTTGTAGACCAGACTGGCCTCAAACTCACAAGATCCGCCTGTCTCTGCCTCCCGAGTGCTGGAATTAAAGATGTGTGACACGCATTATAGCCTGACTGTTTTAAAACAAACTATAAGTATGGCTTAATATTTGCTTACATTTTAAAAATATTATAAGTGATACAAGAAGTGTACTGATCATAAGCTCCCAAGCTAAGCATGCTATAATATTATTTGAAGTACTTATTAAATGTTCACTAGTTGGCAACAAGCTATTATGTCAGGATGAAAGTAGTTGCTGTGCTTTGATTGACATTTAATTGAGAATAACACAGATGTAATATTGTAAGAATGCTAATAATTTTATATGTGACCTAAATATTAAAAGAATTTTTGTTGTCATTTTTTTCAAGACAGGATTTCTCTATGTAGCCCTGGCTGTCCTGGAACTCACTTACTCTTTAGACCAAGCAGGCCTCAAAATCACAAAGATCCACCTGCTTCTGTCTCCTAAATTCTGGAATTAAAGGCATGCACCACCACATTCCAGAATAACTTTCTAGTTTTTGTAAAATTTATCTATCTTTATTTTTTGTGCCTTGGTGTGTTGCCATGGATGTCAGGTCCTGTGAAACTGGAATTACAGACAATTGTGAGCTCACAAGTGGGTGGTAGAAATTGAACCTGGGTCCTCTAGTAGAGTAGTCAGTGCTCTTAACTGAGCAATGGCTCTGACCCCCTCCTTTCTAGTTTTTTTTTTTTAAATGTAATTTTTGTTTGTTTGTTTTTTTGAGACAGAGTTTCTCTGTGTATCCCTGGCTGTCCTGGAACTTACTCTGTAGACTAGGCTGACCTCGAATTCACAGAGATTCACCTCCTCTGCCTCCTAAATGCTGGGATTAACACCATGGCCAGGCTAAAAGAATTATGAACACAGGCTTATTAACTTAGTCAATAACATGTTAGAAAGCATGAAAATCAGTATACAGGGTCAGCAAAATATACTTATTCAATATCCGCATGGATTCATGATTTGTTGATTTTATGTGGATGAGACTTGCTGTCTAACGTTTAGATGCATGTCTTTGAAATGGTTGAGTAGTTGACCTTTAGTACTGTTTACCTGGAACTCTTTACTTGTCTTAGGCTTTAAAAACTCCAGGGTTAAGTGATACTTGAGAATCGGTAGGTCTTGGTAACTGATCTATTGTTGGGGCTAGTAAGCTTAGGTATCCGGGTGGTTAAAATGTATAAGTCCTGAGAAGTCTTGACTTTTTTTTAAATATGAGATTTCAACTGTGTATCTCTGGCTGTTCTAGAATTCACTCTGTAGACCAGACTGGCTTTGAACTCACAGAAATCCACCTGCCTCTGCCTCCCAGGTTCTGGGATTAAAGTATACATTAGGAATTGTGTATTTAAAATTTTTAAACTTTTATTTTTATTTTTTATGTGTATGATTGTTTACCTGTATATATGTCTGTGTATTGTATGTGTAGTGCTCTCATAGACCATACAAGAACATCAGGTCACCTGAGACTTGAATTGCAGATATGAGCTTTATGTGGATGCTGGGAATTGAACCCAGGTACTTTGGAAGAGCTTCCAGTGCTCTTACCCACAGATCCATCTTCCCAGCTCCTCTAATTTTTATTTTTGGTTAAATCTGATGACTGCAATGTAGGTCCATAGTAAAGAACTTACCTGATACGTGCAAGGCCCCAGGTTCCATCCCCAGTGCAATAATGAAAACAAAAACTAGCCAAATAAAATTATTTAAATTAATTTTGTTTACTTATAGATTATAACTGAACTTCTACCATCACACTGCAAGAATCTAACAAGTATATCCACCCTGTTAAAAGATTTAAAATTGCATTATTTATGCATGTGTACACACATTTGAGGACATGTGAGATCAGAGGACAACTTGTGGGAGTCGGCTCTCTTTTTCTCCCGCCTAGATTCACCAAACTCAGGTCATTAAGCTTGGTGACATGCTTGCTGAGGTGTCTCATCATCCCATATCTAACCTTCTGAGAGACTGTAATCTACAAAGTTCACCTTTAGAATCATGTGATAGTGTTACCAAAGCGGGGGAGCAAAAGTTTTCTGCTAAGCTATGTTCGTAGCTGTCCTGGAGTGCCAGGAACCCATAGGCTGCAGGTTCAACTAATGTTTCTCGTGCATGTTCTACCAGTCATGGGACAATTTCTTCTCTTTTTAAAAATGAATTTATTTCATGTGTGTGAGCACTTTGCCTGTGAAGGTATGAGAATCATGTTTGTTTTCTGATGCCCTTCAGGGTTAGAAGGTGTAGGACCATCTGGAACTGGAGTTACAGGTGGTTGTGAACCACCATATGGGTGCTGGGAACTGAACTCATGTTCTCTGTGAGAGCAGCAAGTGCTCTTAATTGCTGAGCCATTCCTCTAGCCACACAAATTTCTCAAAATACTGAGAAACAATAAATGTGTAAATACATATGAAAGTTAGATTATGACCTATTTGAAAGCCCAGGTCTTTGTCCCCATCAGACTTATATCCTTAGCACCTAGCATAGTACTTGGCCCAAACACTTATAATAAAGTAATGAATGCCTTTGTTTGTTTGTGTTTTTGAAGTAGTGTGGTGTGGGAGAATTGTCTGTATTCTGTCAATCATATTTAATAAAACGCTGATTGGTCAGGTAGACAGTATAGGTGGGAAAGTCAGACAGGAAGTAGAGGTGGAGCAAAGAGACTGGGAGTATTCTGGGATAACAGGAAGCTCCCTCTGCAGTTCTGCCCAGACCACTGGAGAGGAAAGATGTGATACTGCCCCCGCAGAAAAAGGTACCAAGCCATATGGCTAGCATAGATAAGAATAATGGGTTAATATAAGTTGTAAGAGTTAACAAGAAGCCTGAACTAACGGGCCAATCAGTTTATAATCTTATGGAGTCTTGTGTGTGATTTTCCTTGGGAGTTGACGGCTGTAGGGTACCAGGCGGGATAGAAACCCCAACAAGCCGGCCTGCCTTACTACAGTAGTGCTGAAATTGAACCTAAAATCTCATGTGTGCTAGGCAAATTCTGTATGACAAAGCTACACTCATCCCTGATGATGTTTAGTACTTTCATCCCTCTTATGATTCCTGAAAGTCATACAGTAAGCTATTTATATCTTTACCTCCTGAGGTATGTTTTGTCAATTGAGAGCGCTGAAGAGCTACGAGAATATGTGACAGATCTTCTCCAGGGAAATGAAGGGAGAAAGGGTCAATTTATAGAAGACCTTATAAGTAAATGGCAAAAGAATGATCAAGAGTTGATTCCTGATTCTTTTCAGCAGTGCCTGAAAAAAGATGGTAAGTTAATGTGATTGAGTGAGAATAGAAGTATTGATAAATGCTTAGCTTTAGAGCTCTGTGTTTTCTGCCATGAGGTATTACTTGTTCACAGCTAATGTAAACAGAATCACATGTGTGCATGTTTTCAGCTTAGATGATGACTATTGCTCTAACCTATCGGCTTTTCTGTCTGCCCCTGCATCTCCAGTACTGGGATTAAAGGCATGTTCCACCATACTGGGTACCAGCCACTGTTTTTAAATTTACAAAAACAAACAAACAAAAAATCACAAAAGAATCTGTTTCCAGGCACAGCTGTGGCTTTAGAATTTCAAAAAGTTACAAGTCAATTAAAGAAATACCTTTCAAGGGCTCAGTCCTCACTCAGTAGTAAGACACTTGTCTAACATGTGTGAGAGCCTGTGTTCAATCCCCAACACTACAAAAAAATATTTTTATAAAATATATTTTTGAAGATTTTTTTTTTCTTTTTAAAATTATTTACTTATTTTGTTGTCGGGGTTTCTGTCTTGCCCAGTCCTTGTTCTGCCCGGTTCCCACAATCATTAAGTCCCAAAGAAATCACACAGAGGTCTACATTAATCATAAACTAATTGGCCCATTAGCTCAGACTTCTTATTAACTCTTATAACTTACATTAGCCCATTATTTTTATCTGTGTTAGCCACATGACTCAGTACCTTTTTCAGTGGTGTAGTCACATCTTGCTTCTTCTGTGTCTGGACAAGACTGCAGAGGGAGCTTCCCTCTTCCCAGAATTCTCCTGTTCTCCTTGACCCACCTCTACTTCCTGCCTGACTACTGGCCAATCAGTGTTTATTTAAAACATAATTGACAGAATACAGACAATTGTCCACACCATTATTTTATGTGTATAAGTGTATGTCTGTGCCACATACATCCCTGGAGCCCTTGCAGGCCAGAAGATGGAATTGGGTTCCCTGAAACTAGGGTTTCAGATGGTATGAACTGCCATGTATTTTACTTGGAATTAAGCCATGCCTAGCCAGTACTTTTAACTGCTGTGCCATCTTTCCAACCCTGTTTTTGTTGTGTTTTCCCTGTTTTTTTTTTCCCCCAAGACAGTGTATCTCTGTATAGTTCCTGCTGCTCTGGAACTCACTTTTTAAACTAGACTGGCTTCAGACTTAGAGGTCTGCCTTCCTCTTCCTGTTGGGATTAAAGTCATGCACTACCATGCCTGACTCTAGCCCTATTTTTATAAATATTTTTAATGATGTGTATACCTGAGTGAACATATTGACTGATTATAAATAATTTTTAGAGGTTTCCATTTACATAACACAAAAGATGAACACCAAACTAAATAATGTCATTATTACACAGTGTAAAATGTCACATTATTAACTTCTACTAAGCATTATTTGACTTCTCCTTTTCCTTTTTCTTTCTCCAGTACTAGGCAAGAACTCTCCGCCACTAACCCTGTTCAGAACTATTTGTTATTGATCCCAGGCATGAACATGATTTAATTTTGAGTCAAGAGTAGTTCTGCCTGACCTTGTGTCTTGATTGTAAATATTAAAAATTACCTTCAGGTTTTACCTGTAGAAGCTAAATAATAAACCTTGCCATTCTCTTTTTGTATTTGTGTGTATTTTATCCTTTAAAGAAATTTTAGATGGACAGAGATCTGTAGACCAGTTAAAGCGGAGTAGGAGGAAAGGAAGAAACAAACAGGAAGTTCCTGCATTTCCTGAACCTGACTTGACTATAGAGGTCAAAACACCTTTAGATTTGGCCAAGGTAAGTGTTTACAAAATTAAGCTTTTCCTGACTGTGTGAAGAAGAAATGACTAATATGTTTCAGAGACAACATGCAGAAGCTGATGCACCAAGGCAGATTCTAACAAGTGGGTGGACTGTATGGACTGAAGCGGACAGTGCTAACATACTTCTATTTGTGTGGTGTGGAGACCTTTTTCCTTTTGCCATAAGGCAGCATGTAGCTCAGGTTGACCTCTAACTTGCTGTTAGCCTTGAACTCCTGATTTTCGCACTTCTGCCTTCAAAGTTTTAGATTACAAGCATGTGCCACCACTCGCTTACCACACATTACAAGATTTATTTTATTTTATATTAAGGATCGAACTTAGGACTTTGTGCATGCATATCAGACAAGCACTGTGATGCTAGCTACATTTCTAGCTTGGATGAATAATAATCAATAAAGCACCCTACTTTCAACTTCAACATTTGAGAGGGCAGTAAAAGCTAAGTGATTATATAGTTCTTGCTTTTACTGAAACTGCCAGGCCTACTTACCTAGCAGGGTAAATACCATGATCACAAAGGTGGTTTTCTCAGGGCGAGGCTTGTGTATTGCACTCTGAATGTTTTGACACCTGCGATTTCCACAAATGTGGGAAATTCAACTACATCATTTGTGGTAGTGGGGGATTGTGTTTGAACTCATTCCTGCATCAAAACAAACAAATACAAAAAAAATCCCACAAAAACAAAACCCAAAATCAAACAAACAAACAAACAAACAACAAAAGCAAAACAAAACAAAAAGCTGCTAGGCAAATGAGAGACCAGGGCAGGAAAATTGAGAGTTCCAGGCCAATCTAGGTCAGCCTAGAACACATAGTGAGACTTTATCAGAAAAATCAGGAAAAGATACATAAATAGTATTCCTCTTTTGAAAGTTTTCTCTTAGCCAGGCAGAGGTGGCAAACGCCTTTAATCCCAGTGCTTGGGAGGCAGAGGCAGGTGGATCTCTGAGTTTGAGCCTAGCCTGGCCTACAAGAGCTAGTTCCAGGACAGGCTCCAAAGCAACACAGAGAAACGTTGTCTCAAAAACAAACAAACAGGGCTGGAGATATGGCTCAGTGGTTAAGGACATTGCCTACTCTTCCAAAGGTCCTGAGTTCAATTCCCCACAACTACATGGTGGCTCACAGCCATCTGTAATGAGGTCTGGTGCCCTCTTCTGGCCTTCAGGCATACACACAGACAGAATATTCTATACATAATAAATAGATAAATATTCTTTAAAAAAAAGTTATTATCATTATTCAATCCTCAAAACTCATTAATAATCAGGCTGGCCTAGAATTCTCTGTGTATCCCAAGCTGTCTTTGAACTTAAAATCCTCCTCCAAGTGCTCAGGTTATAGACTCTGTACCGGGATAACTGAAACATTTATAGTCAGCACAACTCAACAAGCTAAACTTTCCAAAAGAAGAAATTAATTAATCTAAGAAGGAATAAAAATAGTCTGAGTATGATACTATACAAAAAAATGGGTGAGAGGTGAACATGGTGGCCTCAAATGGAAATCCTAATGCTCAGGAATCTGAAGAAGTCCCTCACATTCAAGACCAGCCTAGACTTCAGAGTGAAATTTTTTCAGAAAAAACTAAAAAGTAAAATTAAAGCAAAAACAAGGAGAATGGAATTTACAAAAATTATTGCAAGTGAACAAAGAACATCTAACCCATAAGTATATAAAAGTATTTAATCTCGTTAGAAACTAAGGTGGTCAGTTCTTCATACTCTTAGTTGCCTTGAGACTTTTTCAATTTTATCACCTAGAGTTTCTCATCGTGCCCCTGCCCCAAGGCATGAACAAATCAAGATGTCTATACTAATCAGATAAATACACATTAAATCACCGAGATATTTCCTATCAGATTGTCAATGATTAAAAATAAAATTAGTGTTTGGCAGCATGCATCAAGAGCTGTAGAAATGTTTATGTATTCTTTACTTTGAATACTTATTCCCCACAGGCTTGTATATGCTAAATACTCTAACCACTGAATGACCCCCAAGTGCTATGTTGTACTATTTTAGTGGCTAAAGATGTTCCATACCTTTTCTTGTTTCTGTTGATAATTTGAATACCTGCTGCTGTGAAATTCCTATTTTTATATTATGACCATCTTTTTTATCATGGTATTATTTTCATATGTCTGTTTTTTCCCCTAGTAATAGGGATTGAATGTAGAGCCACATGTTTGCTAGCCACCAGTTATACTCTTTCTTATTAATTTCTAAAGTAATAAGCTTGTTACTGATTTTTCTCATTTTATTGATTGCCTATGCTTTGAGATATATGAATGTTAGCTATTTTTGGAGATTTTTTTAAAAAATTCTGTTTTTTCATTTACTCTTTGTGTGTGTGTACTTGCATGTGCTCATGTGCCTGTGCATACAATGTGTGAGTATCTGTTTCTTTTATAATGTGGTCCTGGGTATCAAACTTAGGTCATTTAGACTTGGCAAGCATCTTTACCTGCTAAACCATCTAACTAGTCCCCAGAGGCATTTTTTAGCTATGGTTTAAGATATCAAGGGTTGGGAGTATAGCAGAGTACATATCTAGTGTACAAAAGGCACAGGTTCAGTAGCCAGCGCTAGAAGAAAAGAAAAAAAGGAAAAATAGGACTGAGGTTGTAGCTCACTTGGTTGGTAGAATGCTTCCCTGGCATGTATGAAGCCCAGGGTTTCAGCCCCTGCATTACTTGTAAATTGAGTGTAGTTATGTACATGTGTTATTTCAGCACTCAGAAAGTACAGCTAGGAGGATCAATGTCATCTTTTAGTTTGAACATAGTAGTTCAAGCCAAATGTTTCTCAAAAACAAAAAGAACCCAACTCACTAAATTTGAATGATAAAACATCTATAAGTGCAATATTAAATATTTCAAGGGACAGCAATATGACTCAGTAGGTAAAAGTGCTTGCCACCAAGACTGATGACCTCTGAACCCACATCGTAGAAGGAGAAAACTATCACCTGAAAGTTGTTCCCTGACCTCCACATGTATACCGTGGAATGTACACACGCTTACAAGTTTTTACACATGTAAAAATTCCTTTTGAAAACACATCAAGCTGCCTTAATTGTTACATTATCTTGCTCTAAGAATATTAGGTGATGGAGAGCTACTAATTGTTGTGATTTTTGTTTGTGTTTTACAAATAAAGCTTGCCTGAAGATCAGAGTGCAGAACTAAGCCACTAGAGGCCAGGGAGTTGTGGCTCACACCTTTAATCCCAGTCCTTGGGAGTCCCACGCCTTTAATCCCAGCTCTAGGCGGGTGGAGACAGGAAAGGATATGACTAGGCTGGCTGAGGAATATAAGGCAGGAGGAGACAAGAACTCAGAGCAGTTTTAAGTTGCAATCTGAAGATACAGTCTGAGAGGCAGTCTGAGGACAGGATTGCCCCTTTGGTCTGAGCATCGGTAGAGATAAAAAGTCTCTCTACTGGCTGGCCGCTCTGCTTCTCTGATCTCTCAGCTTTCACCCCTAATATCTGACTCCAGGTTTTTATTAAAAACAATTAGAATTCGTGCTACATCTAACAAATGAAACAATTGTTAGAAAAACAATTACCTTGCATCTATAGTTATAAGTAATTCGTATTCTGTTTCTTTGGTGGTTCTTGGATAAGGTGCGAGTTATTACTGAACAGAACTCGGACTTTCCTCCCAGATTCTTTTTGTTCTCGTTGATCAGTGTTCCTGTGATGTCTTTGTACAATTAGGCACAAGAAAGCAGTAACTCAGTAAAGAAGAAGACAAAATTTGTCAATTTATACACAAGAGAGGGACAGGACAAACTTGCAGTCCTGCTTCCTGGTCGTCACCCATGTGATTGCCTGGGACAGAAGCACAAACTCATCAATAACTGTCTGGTCTGTGGGCGGATCGTCTGCGAGCAAGAGGGCTCTGGCCCCTGCTTATTCTGTGGCTCTTTGGTAAAGTCCTTCTGTTTTGTTTTTACTATGTGCCCTGGTTGATGATGATGTTGGTGATGATGATGACGATGATGATGATTTTTGTCAACTTGAGTTGTCTGAGAAGAGGGAACATCAGTTGAGAAAATGTTTTCATAAGATTGGCTTGTAGGTAGTCTTGTAGAGTATTTTCTTAATTAGTGATTACTGTGGGAAGGCTCTGCAACTGTGAATGGTGCCAACTCTGGGAAGGTGGTCCTGGACTATGTAAGAAAACAGGCTAATGAGTGATGATGTTTGTCTGTAATCCTAGCACTTAGGAGGCAGAAGCAAGAGAATATATGTGAGTTTGAAGCCAGCCCGGTTTATAATGAGTTCCAGGCCAATTAGAGATACAGAATGAGACCTTGTCTTTTTTTTTTTTTTTAAATATTTATTTATTTATTATGTATACAATATTCTGTCTGTGTGTATGTCTGCAGGCCAGAAGAGGGCACCAGACCTCATTACAGATGGTTGTGAGCCACCATGTGGTTGCTGGGAATTGAACTCAGGACCTTTGGAAGTGCAGGCAATGCTCTTAACCACTGAGCCATCTCTCCAGCCCCCGAGACCTTGTCTTTAAAAGAAAGAAAGGGAGAAAAAGAAGGAAGGAAGGGAGGAAGGCAGGCAGTAACCTACATCCCTACCTTACCTCTTATAAATTCCTTCCTGCCTCGAGTTCATGCCTTGAGTTCCTGCCTGACTACCCTCAGTGATGAACTATTACCTGGAAGTACAAAGTGAGATAAATCTTTTGGGGGCTAGAGATGGCTCAGTAGTTAATAATACTGACTGCTCTTGGCAGAGGACGTGGGTTCAATTTCCAGCAGCCCCATGGTATCTCACAGCTGCCTGTAACTCCAGTTCCTGCAAACCTGATGCCTACTTCTGACCTCTGTAAGACCAGGCATACGTATGGTGAGCAGACATACATACAGGCAAAACATTCAAGCATTCATACAAAAAAAGAAATAAGGGTACAAAAAAAGTGAACCTTTTCTTCCTACCAAAATTGCTTTGATCATGGTGTTTTATCAAAGCAGTAGAAGCCCTAAGACACTATTCTTTGAGCTAATAACCACAGTCATTCAAATCATTTGTAATTTCTCTTAGGAAATTTTTTCCCTACAATATTTAATGAAATCCCAGCACTCTGGAGGCCAAGGCAGAAAAGTGAGTCTCTATATGATTAGGCTGGCCTCAAGCTCCCTGTGTAGCCTAGACTCATTAATAATTGTCTTTGAACTCCCTATATAAACCAGGATAGCCTCAAGTTTGTGGCAGTATCCTTACCTCAGTTTCTCAAGTACTTAAGTACTGAGATTACAGGTATAGGCTATCATATTTGCCTTCTGATTCTTTCTTATTTTATGTGTATATATATTTTGCCTGTATATATGTCTGTGTACCACATTTGTACCTTAACCCCTCTGAGGCCATAAGAGGACATTGTATCCCATGGAACTGAAGTTTCAGACACGTATGAGCTACCATGTGGGTGCTGAAAATTGAACCTAGGTCCTCTGGAAGAGTAGCCAATGCTCTTAACTGCTGAGCCATCTCTCTAGCTTCAAGCTTCTGTTTTTTTTCTAATAAAGCATCTCCTTATAATTTCTATTGTCAATTTGGAGTTTATGGTTAGAACTAAAGGCTTTTGAAAAGTGCCATGTTATTTTTAGCATTCTCAACAGAAGCAAATATTTTCCTATGAAAGTATGTATATGTGTATCTATATGTGTATACATATATTATTCTAATATAAATATACATGATCATCTAGTTATTCTGAAAAAATATTACAGCAATGACATTTTTGGGGGTTTTGTTTTGTTTTTTTGAGAAAAGGTTTCACTGCGTAGCCCTGGCTGCCCTCTAACTCAATCTGTAGATCAGGCTAGTCTTGAACTCAGAGATCCACCTTTTCAGGCATACAAATAGGCAATATCATTCAACTACTGAATGATAACTCTTTTTTTACTTTATAGGTATGTACTAATGAAGAACAGGACATTTTACAGCGTGACTCAAACAAAAGCCAGAAACTACTAAAGAAGCTCATGTCAGGTAAATCCCTGGTTTCTTTCTTTGTTTTTTCATTCATTTTGACAGGGCCTCCCAATATACCCCTGGCTGGACTGGAAGTCACTTGTGCCAGGATTAAAGGTGTGCATCATAGCCCTGGCTGTCCTGGAACTCTCTCTGGATCAGACTGGCCTCAAACTTAGAGATCCACTTGCCTCTGCTTCCAAGTAGTGGGGTTAAAGGCGTGCACCACCGCTGCCTGGCTCAACAATATTTTGGTGGGGGTGGGGTTAGGGGGGGCTGGTGATTGAACCAGGGCCTCACACACGCTAAGCTATGATTCCAGCCGCTCAACAAGCATTTTTTAAATACTTACTATTAAAATCATTATTAAAATAATGCTATATGTTGCTCATATACCTTTGAACAACAAAATAAACAATAATAATATTAGGTTATAACAAAGAAAAATTCATATCCATGTTTATTCTATAACAAATGAAACCTAGACAGTAAAGAAGAGACAACTTGACAGGTGGTAGTGGCGGCCCACACCTTTAATTCCAGCATTCGGGGAGGCAGAGGCAGGTGAATCTCTGTGAGTTCAAGGACAGTCTGGTCTACAGATCAAGTTCCATAACAGCTATGACTATACAGCGGAACCCTGTCTCAGGAGAAAAAAAAAGAGCAACTCTTAGAGAAGAATACTGAATAATAAAGTAGAAGAAAATGGGCTGACAGAAAAATCACCATCAGAGCAAGAATGACAGTTCGAACTGCTGTAAGCAAGATGTTACAATGATGGAGTGAAAATTTAAGATAACAGACTTGCCAGGCAGTGGTGGTGCATGTCTTTAATCCCAGCACTTAGGAGGCAGAAGTAGGTGGATCTCATTGATTTTGAGGCCAGCCTGGGCTACAGAGCAAGTTCCAGGACAACCAGGACTGTTACACAGAGAAACCCTGTCTCGAAAAACAAACAAACAAACAAACAAAAAAAGTCTGCCTTTGCTTCCTGAGTGCTGAGATTAAAGGCATACACCACCACCGCCTGGTGGTTTTGCTTTTTTAAAATTATTTGTTTATTTTATGTACATTGCTGTTTTGTTTGCATGTATGTCTGTGTGAGAATGCCTGTTCCGCTGAGAGGCCAGAAGAGGGAATTGGATCCCCTGAAACTGAAATTACAGACAGCTGTGAGCTGCCATATGGATGCTGGGAACTGAACACAGGTCCTCTGTAAGAACAATCAGTGCTCTTAACCACTGAGCAATCACTTTGGCCCCTAAAATGATGAAGCTATTTCTTCCTTTCTTTCTTTCTTTTTTGTTTATTATTTGGTGTTTTTCAAGAGAGGGTTTCTCTGTGTAGCCCTGGTTGTCGTGGAACTTGCTTTGTAGACCAGGCTAGCCTCGAACTCCCAGAGATACGCCTGTCTCTGCTTCCTGGGTGCTGGGACTAAAGGCATGCACCACCATGACAGGCTCTCAGCCCCAATTTCTTAGTTTTAATCCTTATGAAAATGCTGACATCAAGGGATGAACATATATAGGAATTGTACTCTTTTTTTTTTCAAAAATGTTAAGTCTTTTATATTTGAGAACATCTGACAAAAATTATTAAGGACCTTTTGGTTTTGTTTTGTTTGAGATACTGTTAGTGTCAAATACCACTTGATATTGTTTGGGCCTGACCTTAATTGTTTCCATTTTAATGAATGCTTCAGATCATCAGGCTAGAACCAAATCTGCAAATATTTTGTTCATTTGCTGCACAACAATACAACAACTTTATTCTATGAACTGATCCCATTTTCTTTTCTTATTGAATTTCAGGGGCAGAAAATTCTGGAAAGGTAGACATCTCTACCAAGGACCTTCTTCCTCATCAAGAGGCTCGGATTAAGTCTGGTCTGGAGAAGGCCATCAAGCATAAAGAGAAGCTGCTAGAGTTCGACAGAACTAGGTAGTGTGAGCTTAGACCAGCATTGCTAAGACAGAAGCTCAGCCAGAGAGTCTAACTATTAAACATTATATGGGGGTTGTGGGATGGTTCATAATTTAGACCACTTGCTGCTCTTGCAGAGACCCAGGTTCAAGCTCGAGCACTTGTGTGGCAGCTCTCAATCATTTGTAGCTCTAGTTCCTCTTCTGACCTCTGCAGGCACCAGGCACTCACTCACATAGAGCACACACATATACATGCAGGCAGAACACTCATACATAAAATAATAAAATAAATCAAATATTGCTTTGACACTTGATACCTTCTTAGGGTGGAGTGTGAAAGGATTCATAACAAAGAAGAGCTGGATGTATTGGGGGTTTTATTGCATCTTGGTTTTTGCTTTTGTTTTTGTTTGGCAGGGTTTCACTATGTGGATCCAGCTGGGCTAGAACTCATTCTGTAGACCAGCGTTGCATCCAACTCAAAGATCTGCTTGCTTCTGCCTCTCGTGCTAGGATTAAAGCATGGACCACCACATCTGTCTCTTCTAAATTTTTTTTAAAAACATTCCACACTAAGAACTTATAGGTCAGGCTGGAGAGTTGGCTCAGAGGTTAAGAGTATTGACTGCTCTGCCAGCTGTCCTGAGTTCAATTCCCAGCAACCACATGGTGGCTCACAATCATCTGTAATGAGATCTGGTGCCCTCTTCTGGCCTGCAGGCATACATGCAGACAGAACACTGTATACATAATAAATAAGTAAATCTTTTTTAAAAAAATAAAGAACTTATAGGTCACATTTATTTAGTAACAAATTATCTGGTTGTTGGGTAAAAAATTCTGAAGACTTTATTTTCGGTCCAAAAAGCAGCTGTGTTGAGTGAACCACTTTATACTGCAGAACAGTATAAATATTACACAGACAGCACACAGACTTTTATGCTAAAGACAAAATAGAAGAAAGTTTAAATAAGCAAAAACCAAGCCAGTCATAGTGGCATACTCCTCTAGCCACGCACTTGGGAGACAGAGGTAGGCAGACAGATCTCTGTGAGTTAACACTAACATCTATAGAGTGAGTTCCAGGACATCCAGGCCTACGTAGTGAGACCCTGTCTCAAGAAAAAAAAATATCAAAAATTTTAGGCAATTATGGTTAGCAGAGGTTTGATTTTTATAAGGAATAGGGTCTCCATGCATTAGACTTTTATAAAAATAAAATCCTGACAGACATGAGCTACATACTTTCTACTGAACCCAGAGCCCCAGAGTGTTGTAAGCACATCTGTCAACAATGACGATTCCTTAAGCTCCCAGTACAATCCTCAATGCCAACAGTTACACACTCTTTGAATACTGAACCAAGATCCTGTACTAGGAAAGGTAATGAAGCACTCTAGGGAAAAATTAGCATGGAGACTTCATTGATGAATTCAGCAAATATTTATTGAAATTTAAATTTCCAGCTCTGGGAGGAGCCCAACAGACAGAACCTTTGCCCCAGTAAGCTCACTCTCTGAAGAAGGGCTGCCCAGCTCTCAGGCAGTCACTGCCAGCCTTTAATTCACCATGCAAGATTTCCTCTATCAGGGCAAATACAATCTTTTAAAATTTTATTAGTGGGCAAGTGGAGATAGACACACATCAGACAATCTGTGTCAAGACCCATATCAAGACTTTTAATACAAGATCATTTTGTACCTTGAATATGAATGTAATATAAATGTATTCCATATCCTTATAAGTGTCATTAACTCATAATTATGGAGAAACACTGTCTTAACTAGATTTATGGCTTTGGTGTAATCAATTTCTGTGAGCCCCACGTTTATTTTCTGTAGAATGACAGGAAGGTTAAATTGTCAGAATTCCTTCTAGCCATCAAGTTTCTTGTCATTATGATCTTAGGACTTGGGCCATGTATTAATGAAGAACTGAGGAGTAAAGAGGAAGGATATGGAAACTGTTATAATAGTAGGTGAAGAAAATATCTTGTGTTAATAATTAAGCCACAGGACAAGATTTTAAATACCAGCAGACAGATGGGTCTATCAGTAATAAACCAAACTTGAGTGAATTGTAGATGGGGTAGGATGTTGAGTAAGTTACTAGAATAACAATTAGTATCTGGCAAATCCAGGGTACATCCCAGTTATCAGGTGCAAGCTGTGATCCACAGCCTGGAGGGCTGGAGGATCAGTGGAAGGGTATATGAAAGGTTGGACTTGTCAGAAAGGGAGGACAGTGGATTATGGTGGTATGTCTTCCACTGCCTGAGACTGAGATTAGTTCTAGGAGCAGAACTGAACCTTACAGTAGACATAAGATACACACTGCAGCTTCAAGTCAGGAAGAGCTTAGTCTGATTTTAGAACATAGTTGAGATGGAAACTTCCATAGTTGAGATGGAAACTTCCATAGTTGAGATGGGAACTTCCATAGTTGAGATGGGAACTTCCACAATAGTTAAGCAGTAATTAGTCTGTATTTGTCAACACATGACCTCCCTGATGGGTGTTTTTTTCTCATTTTTCCTGCTTAGTGTCCGAAGGACCCAAGTTATTGATGATGAGTCAGATTACTTTGCCAGTGACTCCAACCAGTGGCTGTCCAAAGTTGAGCGGGAAGCCCTGAAGAAACGAGAGGAGGAGCTGAGAGAACTGCGACATGCCTCACGACTCTCTAGAAAAGTCACCATTGACTTTGCAGGGCGGAAGATCGTAGAAGATGAAAATCCACTAGCTGAATATCACAGCAGGTAAGTGGGAGGCCTCTGGTGGGGTCTGAGAACAGGGACAGTCCAATCTCTAAAGGATCTAGTGTTTGTTTAGTTAAAAAAAAATGATGCCTGGATATTGGTGGAAACACCTTTAATCTCAGCACTCAGGAGGCAGAGGCAGGTGAATCTCTGTGAGTTCAAGACCAACCTGGTCTACAGAGTGAGTTCCAGAGCTACACAGCCAAAGCTGGTTAGAAACTCTGTCTTGAAAGAAAAAACAAAAACAAACAAAAAACAAATAATGATGATGACAATTCCCCAATGTATAAAGCTCTTTCTGCCCATTCTTAGGACCGTAGTTCACATCCTCACAACCTATGTGAAGCCATTGTGCAGTACCACTTGTGTGTCATCTCTGTTTCTATGGCAACATAGGAAACAGAATTGCCAGAACCTCACAGGCCAGTTAGCCTGAAGCATGCAATGGAAAAAAGCAAAGAGAACTTGTCTTAACCAAGGCAGAACATGAAGATCAACACCTGACGTTCTCTGACCTCCAAACACACATCTGCCCATACTTTTCACACACACATACATGTATATATCTCATATGCCTATGTCATATGCACAAAGATAAAAATAAATAAAAACGGCCGGGTGGTGGTGGTGCACGCCTTTAATTCCAGCACTTGGGAGGCAGAGGCAGGTGGATCTCTGTGAGTTCCTGTCCAGCCTGGTATACAAGAGCTAGTTCCAGGACAGGCTCCAAATCTACAGAGAAACCCTGTCTCGATACCCCCCCCCCAAAAAAAAGATAAAGAAAAGAAAAAAAGAAATAAAAATGAAGGGACAATAAGTTAGTTCAGCAGGTAAAGGCGTCTGCTTGCTAAGCCCGAAAACCTAAGTTTGATCTCTGGGACCTCTATGGTCAAGAAGGAGCCAGCTCTGCAAGTTGTCCTCTGATCTTTACACATGTGTGGCACATGCATGCGTGCACATTCTCACACACAAAATAAAATTAAAAATAGTGTTAATAATAATAGACTAGAAATATATCTCAGTTATAGAACATGTGTCTAGCATGCACAAGTCCATAGATCAACCCAGGTACTACACACACAAATAATTTCATAATGATGAAGTTCTGTATGGCGGCATATGCGTGTAATCATGGCACTTGAGAAACTAAAGGCATAGGATACATGGTATGAGGCTAGCCTGGTCTGCATACTGAATTCCATATCAATCTGAGCTATACAGCAAGACCCTGTTTCACAAATCAAAAAAAAAAAAGCAGTAAAAGCAAAAATAATAAACCCTTTACTTTATTTAAAAGTAAATAAATAAAATGTTTAAGGCTGGGATTGTAGCAAAGTGGTATATCATTTGCCTTGATTATGAATGCTGTAAAATAATCCCACATTAGCTCAGAATTGAGTATAATAAAGGGTTATTTATTTAGGGATAGGCTCACAGATCACAGTCCTCTTCATAAATAAATTTGGAACAGGAACCAAATCCAAAAGCTAGGAGAGAGAAAGAGTGTAATCTTTACATTGGCATTTATAGTGTAAGAGTTCATGCCCAAATTGGTTGGTATGTTAAAGGCTACTGGCTGAAGGAGTTCCCACAGCATTGCCTAGTATTCTTGAGCACCAGGGTTTGATTCCCAACACTTCAAAAAATAAAATATAAAAGAATAATTATAAAATAAATATAAATAATAAATATAAAAAATGGGTGAGGATTTTCAAAATGAAGCATGAAACCAGGCACAGCAGTGCAGATGCATAGTCCTAGCACTTTGAGAAGATGAAACCAGATCAAGAGTTCAAGGTCAATAGTGAGTTTGAAGCTATCATTGACTATATGTTACTCTGATAAAATGAAGACCTAAAACAACAACAACCCCAAAAAAGTACAGTTATGGCAGTAGAATAAATCAGTGAGGCATGCGGAAATGATGACTTAGTTGGTAAAGTGTTTGATAAAGAAAAGGATCTGAGTTTGTTTCCTAGAACCTGCATAAAAAAACTGGGCATGATGGCACTCCTGTAATCCCAGAGCTGTGTAGACAGAGACAGGATGACACCTTGAGCTCCCTAGCCAGTCAACCTAGTCAAATAGGCGGGTTCCAGGTTCAGTGGGAGACCCTGTCTCAAGAAATAAGGTAGAGAGTAACTGAGGACAGCAGCCCACATTGACCTCATTACCAGGTGGGCACACACACATATATACACACACAGAATATTTGGTGAAATGTATGATCCAGAAAGAAACGAATATGTCTACTTTGTGTATTTGTGCTTGAGTGTATGCAGATATGTGAAGTTAATAATGACTAAAGTTGGGGCTGGAGAGATGGCTCAGTGGTTAAGAGCATTGCCTGTTCTTCCAAAGGTCCTGAGTTCAATTCCCAGCAACCACATGGTGGCTCACAACCATCTGAAATGAGGTCTGGTGCCCTCTTCTGGCCTGCAGGCAGACACACAGACAGAATATTGTATACATAATAAATAAATAAATATAAAAAAAAAATAATGACTAAAGTTAACAATGACTTGAAATGAGAGTGTAACTCAATGATAGATTACTTGCCTAATATATGTCAGATCATCATTTAGTCCTTAGCTATATGCACACAGAGAAATAATAATAAATAAATGAAAATGGGGCTGGAGAGATGACTCGGAAGTAAAGAGCACTGGCTGTTCTTCCAGAGGTCCTGAGTTCAATTCCCAGCAACCACATGGTGGCTCACAGCTATCTGTAATGAGATTTGGTGCCCTCTTCTGGTATGTGTATATATAATAAATAAATTAATTTAAACAAATGAAAATGAAGCTAAGCTTAATTTTTTAAGCTGTAAGGTAAGGGTTTAATATATAATGTAGAGATGATTAACACCACTTTGAAAAAATCGTAGGTTAGATCTCTCCCAAACTACACTGTAATAGTAAGCTAGACTAAATCAGCGAATTTAGTGGGACATGATAGTAAACACTTGTAATCTCAGCACTCAAAATGCAGAATAGGAGGATCCCACCAGGCCAGCCCAGGATACATAGTAAAGCCTATCCCAAAAAATAAAAATAGCTGGGCGGTGGTGGCGCATGCCTTTAATCCCAATACTCAGGAGGCAGAGACAGGTAGATCTCTGTGAGTTTGAGGCCGGCCAGGTCTACAGAACTAATTCCAGGGCAGCTAGGGCTGTTATACAGAGAAACCCTGTCTTTAAAAGCCAAACAAACAAATAAATAAATTTAAAAAGTAAGAATTGAGTGATAATGGCGCATACCTTTAATCCCAGGATGTGGATCTCTGAGTTTGAGGACAACTAGGGCTACAGAAAGACCTTTTGTTGAAGAAGAAGAAGAAGAAGAAGAAGAAGAAGAAGAAGAAGAAGAAGAAGAAGAAGAAGAAGAAGAAGAAGAAGAAGAAGAAAAAGAAAGTACACACACACAATCTGTTTTATAAGTGTGTATATGTGTTGGCTTAACAAATTTGGTTGAATTTTTAAAAATTGGGAGAGACAATGAGATGAATTGGTAGAGCTAATGAGATGGCTTAGCTAGAAATAGCACTTGTCTCTCATGTCTGATAACCTGAGTTCAATCTCCAGAATCCAGAACCAATAGTGAAAGGAGAAAACTGAGTCCCAAAAGTTATCCTCTGACCTCTACAAGTTTGCCATGGCACGCATGTCCTCACTCTCACATATATATCATAGACACACACATACACACATTCACACACACCCAGAAATAAAATAAAAAATTTGAAAATATTTGGTCTTGATGAAATGCAACTGTTTGCTCTTTTTTTCCTCTTTGAACTTGAAATTAATACATTGGAAAAATGAATTTCCTCCTACTTTGAAATATGGTATTAACCCTAGTGTAATTACTGGTTTTGAAAGTTATAAAGTTCTTCTCCAGCTCTTTTTAAGAAATCTCTCCATTGCCAGGCGGTGGTGTCATATGCCTTTAATTCTAGCACTAGGAAGGCATAAGCAGGTGAATTTTTGGGTTCAATGCCAGCCTGGTCTACAGAGCAAATTCTGGGACAGCCAGGGCTACACAAAGAAAACCTGTCTTGAAAAACAAACAAAACGAAACCTCTCCATCCTCAAGTTTTGTACTTTTAAAAAAAATTATTTTTATTTTTCACTTGCATGCATTATGTGCACCACATGCACACTTGCTGTCTGCGGAGGCCAGAAGAGGACATCTGATCCTCTGTAACTGAAGTTACAGTTGTCAACTCCATGTAGGTGTTGGGAACCAACTCAGGTCATTTGTAAGAACAGAAAGTGCTCCTAACCTCTGGACCATCTGTCAATCCCCTGCTGTTGTTCTGAGACTGAGTTTTACAAAGTAACTCAGCCTGACTTGGACCTTACTATGTAGCTCTGACTGGCTTCAAATTGATGTAGATCCTTTTCCCTCAGCTTCCTAAGATTTCAGATGTGTAACACCATGCCTTGATTTGGTTTTGTTGTTTATTTTGTTGGGTTTGGGGTGTTTTGTTAGTTTTTTTATTATTATTATTATTATTATTATTATTATTATTATTATTATTATTTTGTTCTGTTTGTTTGTGATAGGGTCTCGTGAAGTCTAGGCCACTTTCTTTGCCAAAATATCACTAGATGATATTTCTATCATTCTAGATAGATATCACTAGGTACTTAATAATATTATTTCCCCTTTGAAACTTCTTGAGCTGGGATGTCATAATCTATATCATTCTCAGCACCACCTTCTTTCTTGCTCCTACTAGGATGGCCTAGTAAGCCTCATTTAAAGCATTCAGCTTTCAAATTTTCTCATCCAAAGTCTCAAAGTCTTCCATATTCCTTCAGCAAACAGCCTGGTCAGACCTATCACAGCAACACCCCACTCCTGTTACCAACTTCTGTCTTAGTTACTGTTGTATTGCTATGAAGAGGTACCATGACCAAGGCAACTCTTATAAAAGAAAGCATTTAACTGGGGACGTGCTTACAGTTTCAGAGGTTTAGTTCATTATTATCGTAGGGGGAGCATAGCCACATGTAGTCAGGCCTGGTGCTGGAGCAGTAGCTCAGAGCTTCATCCTGATTCACAGGCAGAGAGAGACTGGGCCTGGCATGGACTTTTGAAACCTCAAAGCCCATAGAGATTAGACGAAGGTCAGATCTCCTAGACAGTTGTTAGCCACTACATATAGTTAACACCAGGAAAAGTCCCCTTAACTGCTAAGCCATTTCTCCAGCCCCATATAACAACTTTCTAGCAAATATATTTTTATTTGAATTCATGATTAAGCTCATTCTTTTTTATTAGTTGATGCTTTGCTTATGTGGTGCTTCAGAATTATCATCGTCACTCAAAAATGTTTGTTAAGCATTCAGCAGGCCTTTGGTATACAGCAATAAGTAGGGCATGACAGTGGAATGGAATAAAAACTCTCTTCTCTGGGTCAGGTTATTGCTCCTTCAAGGGTTTGATCTCTTCCGATCTATAGTTAGGTATATTATCTATTAAGCCACTGGACTGCAAAGGCATGATATCTTTTTGTTTTATTTGTTTTGAGACAGAGTCTCACTATGTAGTCCTAACTGTCCTGGAACTCACTATGTAAAATAGGCAGTACTGGGACTCAAAGAGATCCATCTGCCTCCACCTACTGAGTGCTGAGTCGTAAGCCACTATACCTGGAAAGGGTATGCTGGTATGCTGTCTTAGGAGCCAGAGTATTCCACATTCTCTGTCCCTTTGCCCTCCTCTCTCTCAGTTTGTCTCTCCTCTAATTCTGTCTCTCTGTGTGTGGTGATTATTCATACAGTAGATGTGAAGTTTTACTATAAAACTTTAGAAAAAGAAGTAAGCACTGTGTGTTGGACAAGTAAGGGGCCTCTTTAAAACTTCTGAGCGTTGGAGATAGAGAAATGTCTCAGTGAATAAGAGCCTGTGTTGTTGCAGAAGATCCAAGTTCAGCTTTCAACACTCTATTTGGGTGGCTCACAACCACCTGTAACTCCAGCTCAAGGAAATCCAATGTCTTTGGTTTCACAAGGCATTCACCAGTACATGTTTACACACAGACACACAAATATATACATTGTTTTGAGGGTTGTTTTGTTTGTTTGTTTGAGGCAGAGCCTCTTCTATGTAGTTTTGGCTGTCCTGGAACTTGCTATGTAGATCAGGCTGATCTCAAACGCAGAGCTCCACCTGCCTCTACCTCCCAAGTTCTGAGAATAAAGGTGTGAGCCACCACATCCAGTAATACATACGTCTTTAAAAATAAACAGAAACAGACCCTTTTGTGTCTTGAAGCAAGGATAGTGTTCAGATTAGCATGGAGGAGTGGAAAGGGGTCTCCACTAGGAAGAATAACTATGGTTCAGTTACTAGATGAGTTGTAGAATCCCCTTCTCTGGGCCAGGTTATTGCTAGGCATCTTTTCTAGTCTTGGCATGTTGTTGATCATGTTAAATCGGTGAGTGAGTAATATGCCCTACCTTTTTCCTTAGAATTCTTGGTACAAAGAGAAAGAAGGTAGAGTTGGAGGCAGGGAAGATTGTGCATTTCTTCAAATAAAACTTTCATTTCCAAGTTATTACCACTAAAAGGTTGCATGTAGTAACTTTGGACACTCTTAGCGTAATTATTGTCTCCTTTTGGTTTATTACCACAGACTAGATGAGACAATACAGGCCATTGCCAATGGAACTTTGAACCAGCCACTTAGCACATTGGATAGATCCTCTGAAGAACCTTTGGGAGTTTTGGTAAATCCCAACCTGTACCAAAGCCCTCCCCAGGTAAGTGAATGTTTCCTCTAACTGATAATGAGACAGTTTAGAACAATAGTTCGCCTTTCAAGTATATATAGGCCTTTAGATACCAATTTCCTCTCAACATGTCCAATATTTTTCTAATTTTTATCAAAACATTTCTGATAAGATTATCTGCATTATCTTCTGAATATTATCGTTTAAATGTTTTTATGGAGTCTGATGTATTTTTAATTTCTAGGTATAGTATATTCAACTGTGCATGTATATTTGCATGTGTAGGGCTGATGTGTATATGCATCACATGTGTGTATATGTATGTGGAAGCCAGAAGCTGACTTTGGGCACTTTCTCTGTCACTTTTCACTTTACATCTTGAGGCAGTACATAATGAATGTGGTTTTAGGACCTGGGAGTATAGCCTGTATAGCTCAGTAGTAGAATGCTTAGCTATGCATGAGGTCCTGAGTTTAATCTATAGCACCTGGGTAAGGTGGAAAAGGATTTTGGAGCCATTGATCTTCTTGCTTTGAAAGAAACATTAACCATCCTTCTTATGTACACAATGTTCAGCCTCCATGTATGCCTGCAGACAAGAAGAGGGCACCAGATCTCATTATAGATGGCTGTGAGCCACCATGTGGTTGCTGGGAATTGAACTCTGTACCTCTGGAAGAGTAGTCAGTGCTCTTAACCTCTGAGCCATCTCTCCAGCCCCCTTTAGCATCCTTCTTTATTGCCACAACCTGTTAGTCTCCTTCAATTTGCATGCTCCCTCTAATTGAATTGAGTTATCTAATTCTCTGTCTCCCTTTACAATGTGAGAACCTTGTTTTTGAGGGCACAAGTTGGTCATTTCAGAATTATACGATTTTTCATACACTCATTAGTCAGAACTGCTGCTCCAACAGACAGCATCTGTTTAGCCTTAAGAATTATGGATGAAGGGGGCTGGAGAGATGGCTCAGTGGTTAAGAGCATTGCCTGCTCTTCCAAAGGTCTTGAGTTCAATTCCCAGCAACCATATGGTGGCTCACAACCATCTGTAATGAGATCTGGTGCCCTCTCTGGCCTGCAGGCAGATATTGAATGCATAATAAATGAATAAATATTAAAAAAAAGAATTATGGATGAAAATGTTGAAATCACCTTGGAAAAATATCTAGAATTAGACATAGATTGTTAATAAGTATAAAGTGGAAACAATCCCTATTCTTTTGTCTTGTTGTTATGTATTTTCTAGAAGAAGGTATAATTGTAGTGACTTCAACATTGTATTTATCATGTAAGATGGGATATTGTGAACTGGATAGTGGTTCAGCAGATAAAGGTACTTGATCCAAGCCTGAGGTCTTGAGAACACCTACTTTCATAGGTTGTTTAATGACTTCCACATGGGTGCTGTGGCATGCATACCTCACTCCATCCCCAAAATGCATGAATGAAATGTAATTTGAAAAATAAAACCTAAACCTAAAGAAGCAATAATTGAGTGTGGTGATTCTTCCCTTAGTCTTAGCACTTGGGCTAGCAGATCTCTGTGTTCAAGGCCAACCTGCTCTATATAGTATGTTCCTGGTCAGGTGTGGTGACATAGTGAGAGGCTGACTCGGAACACAAACAAAATGATGCCACATTGTGGCCATATTTACCTAAGAATTTAGAACATTTCCATACTTTTTGTTCTTGTTTTAGAGATGAGATAAATTTTTCTTTAAAAAAAAAAAAAAAAAGCTCCCTGAACAATAGCACAAACCTGTAATCCTGGCATTTGCGAGATGGCTACAAGAGAATCAGAAATTCAAGGTCATTCTTTGCCACATATCAAGTTCAAGGCAAGCCTAAAGAAAGAAAAAAAGTGATACTCAAATGATTCCTTTTTACCAGCATTCATCACTTTGGTTCACCTTCCCTAAGTTCCTCCCTTCTCAGCAAACTCTGTTTCTGTTTTGTGTGTTCTTTCCTATGCAGTGGGTAGACAACACTGGCTCAACCCCACAGAAGACTTCACTCTCAGCAGGACCAAGACTAGAGCCCAGTTTACATCAGCACCAGCTGCGAATCCAGGACCAGGAATTCCAGGAAGGCTTTGATGGTGGCTGGTGCCTCTCCATGCATCAGCCCTGGGCCTCTCTGCTTGTCAGAGGGATTAAAAGGTAAAAATTACAAATCATAACTTTCCTATAAAATTGAAAGTCAAAGCCTTTGAGTGATATTTATTTGATTTAGAAGTATGGATTTATGCTCCTTTGTACCAGTCTATTGATTACTTATAATATTGTTCAGTGCATGTAAATATAAACAGTGCTACATATGGTGACACAGCACAGCAGTGGTGGCTCACGTCTTTAATTCCAGAACTCAGAGGCAGAGGCAGGCGAATCTCTATGAGTTCAATGCCAGCCTGGTCTACAGAACAAGTTCTAGGATAGCCAAGGCTACACAGAGAAACCCTGTCTTGACAAAGCAAAACAACAAAAGTATGGTGACACAGAACTGTAATCAAAGCACACAAGAGGCAGAGACAGGAGGATTATGAGTTGTAGTCTAGCCTATTATGCATTAGCAAGACTTAGTTATATTATGGGCTCTTCAAGGAAACTAGAATTAGAGCCTTTCCATTAAATTTGTATTTATTTAAGGGTGGAGGGCAGATCCTGGTATACGCCTCACAGAGGAAGACTTTGGATTGCAGCCACAGGCAAAAGACCTTCCCCTCAAGAGGTCTCAGAACTCCAGGCTACCTATCGTCTTCTTCGTGGAAAAGGTAACAACTGCGTATATATGCTTGGTTTTCAGTCTTCCTTTGTCCTGAATGCTTATCTTCTATATCCTTCTTTCTTTGGCTTTTTTTTTTTGTGTGTGTGTTAAAGAGTCTGAAGACCTCACATTTCTTTCTTTCTTTTTTTCTTTCTTTTTTTCTTTCTTTTTTTCTTTTTCTTTTTTTTTTGATTTTTGAGACAGGGTTTCTCTGTAGTTTTTGGTGCTTGTCCTGGAACTAGCTCTTGTAGACCATGCTGGCCTAGAACTCACAGAGATCCTCCTGCCTCTGCCTCCCGAGTGCTGGGATTAAAGGCGTGCGCCACCACCACCCGAAAAGACCTCACATTCGTCTATTAGTTTGATTTGTAGACAGGGTATCTCAGCAGAGCCCAGCTGCCCTGGAACTCACCGTGTAGTTAGGTTAATTCAAACTCAAGGCAGTTTTCTTGCCTCAGGCCCCCAAACAGTAGGATAAGAGGGATGAGCCTCTACACTCAGCTCAGTGTGTTGAGTGATAAGTCACAGATGCCTGTTCAAAGCATGTAGGGAAACCCTGTCTCAAAAAAAAAAAAAGGAAAAAAATCACATTTATTCTTTTTTGTTTTTATCATACTTTTATGGTTTTCTTTTCCTCATCACCTATAACTGCTTTTCTTTTTTCTAAAATACTGTACCTCCTGTTCTAGCTTTGTTTCTTTGACTGTGATAAAATTCTGTGACCCGAAGCAACTTAGAGGAGGAAGGGTTTAAGGGTTTGCTTTGCTTCAACTCATAATCCCAGGTTTCAGTCCATTAATGTAGGAAGCCACATCTCAGCTGGCTTGTACTTGGTTACCCTTCTCCATGCTCACATAGTTTGGAACTCTTCTTAGAGAATAGTGAGTGTTATCTATTGGCAGTGGACTGGGTCTTCCTACCCAATGCTGACAATCTCTCTTTGAGACTCTTCCTACATGATTGTCAGTTATGTGGAGTTGAAATTTAAAAGTAGCCATCCCACCACCAAACTTTAATCCAATCCAGCTGTGAGTACATTATAATTAATTTGATTGGTATTAACCTATAGAGTCCTTGAACCTTGATGGTATATATAGAGGATTTTTCTAAAACAAAAGTTTCCAACTTTAGCACATGAGTAGTAAACTAAGCTAGTCACTTGCTGGAGTTTTGCTAAAATATAAGCAGTTGTGCCATATAAAAAACTTCACTGTTTGCCTTTGCTTCTACAAATAGATGATGGAAAAAGTTATGTGTTCAGAATTGAAAGCAGATTTCTGAGTTCCAGGGTCACAAAAAAGAAAAGTCATCCTCTCCTTTTGTTATCTTCTATTCAGATGTGGAATTTCCAAATGATTATCCATCAGGTTGTCTTCTGGGCTGTGTGGACCTAATTGATTGCTTATCCCAGAAACAATTTCAGGAGCAGGTGAGTACTGAGTTCTTTTCATGGGCAGGCACTTGCTCACTGTCATTATAAGTTTTAGATCTTCATAACAGACTGTTCTGAAGGCAGTGAGGTGCTAGCAATCTAGACAGAAGAAGAAATGTCTCTCTTTATATCTCTCTCTCCCCATCTTTCTCTGTCTTGAGAGACTTGTGGCACAGCTCAGGCTGGCTTCAAATTCATGGCCCTACTTTCTCTGCCTTCAAAGTGTCTGTTGTGTCGTGTCCTGGTTTGTTTTGTTTTGAGCCCTATCCCAGACTGAACTGGAACTTACATAGAGTCCTTGTACTTATGATTATCCTCCTGCCTCTGCTTCTGGAGTCCTGAGATTACAAGCATGCAGCCACCACCCCCAGCTCCAGGAGAATTTTTTTTTAAGATTTATTTGTTATGTATACAACATTCTGCCTCCATTTATGCCTGCAGGCCAGAAGAGGGCGCCAGATCTCATTACAGATGGTTGTGAGCCACCATGTGGTTGCTGGGAATTGAACTCAGGACCTCTGGAAGAGCAGCCAGTGCTCTTAACCTCTGAGCCATCTCTCCAATCCCTAGGAGAATGTTTTTGTAACTGTACATTGGAGGGAGACTAGGAATAGGTCAGAAATAGAAGCACTTAGAGATGGCTTAGTTTCCAGTGTATTGGGAAGTAACAGACCTACATTTCTGAAGAACAGTTTTCACTACAGTCCAGGGAAGGGAGTGTAAGGTCTTCATCCTTTCTTTAAGCTTTGTTTTTTAGATTGGGCCAGATGGCCTATACCTTTATCCCAGCACTTGGGAGGCAGAGGCATTTGGAGGCCAGCCTGATCTACATAGCAAGTTCCATTCCAGCCAGGGTTACAGAGTGAGGATGTTTGTCAAAAAAAAAAAAAAGCAAAGCAAAAAGTTCTTTTAATGAAGAAACTTTAAAATACCGCTTTTCATTTTGATTGAATGGTGGGTGTGGATAATCTATTTTGGCTTATCCTGAAGCATTTCTTCCAGACCATTAAACTCATGATAGGCAAGTGTGCTTGAACTTGGTTTGATTTGTGCCATGTTGGGGTATGTGTGTACAAGTGAGCATACCTATTTATTTAATTTTAGAAAATCTATAAACATTAAATTGACATGATTTAAACACGTTTGAACAGTAGGGGGCACCAAAGAACTGTAACTTCATTGTGAAATTCCTCAAATGTAGAGTTTGGGCTCAGACTGGCAGGATGACCAAATCTAAGCAGAAAAAGTCTTACAGTGTTGTTTTCCTGTCCTTTGAACAATTAATTTAAGCATTTGTGCTTCTAACACTGTACATAAGAAAATGTACTTCATGCTGGGTGGTGGTGGCGCTGCACAACTTTAATTCCAGTGTTTGGGAGACAGAAGCAAATATGGCTGTTACACAGAGAAACCCTGTCTCAAAATAAATGTACTTCAATTTAGCTTTTACTCAGGTTTTTTTTTTTTTGGTTTTTCAAGACAGGGTTTCTCTGTCTTGGAACTCGATTTGCAGACCAAGCTAGCCTCAAACTCACAGAGATCCGCCTGTCTCTGCCTCCCAAGTGCTGGGATTAAAGATATGTGCCACCACCACCGGCTAGATTCATTTTTCCAAATGTTTGCCTTTTTTTTTTCTGGCTGTGCTGTGTGAACCCAGGGCTTTATGCATTCTAGTCAAATTCTCTAACATTAAGCTATATCCCCAGATCCCAAATGTTTTCTTTCTTCCTTTCTGTCTTTCTTTCTTTTTTGTTTGTTTTTTTTTTTTTCAAAACAGCATCTTACTATGTAGCTCTGTGACTGTCCTGGAACTCACTCTGTAGACCAAGGTGGCCTCGAACTCACAGAAACCTGCCTGCCTTATCCTCCCAAGTGCTGGGATTAAAGACATGTGCCACCACTGCCTGGTGTGTATGGGTATTTGTCTGCCTGTGTGTCTGTGCACCATATACAGGCAATTCCCACAGAAACCAGAAGAAACACAGAAACCTGACAGGAGTAACCTTAAAGGAGAAAAGATTAATTTGGGGTCATGGTTTCAGAGAACACAGTGGGAAATGCATGACAAGTAATGTCCAGTTCTTGGTGATGGAAGCTTGCACCTACTGCTTCTCACAGCTTGGCAGATCATCAAGCATAGAGAGAAGGACCACAAGTAGAGCTATAACCCTCAAAGGCCACCCTTCAGTGAGCCATCTCCACCATCCAGGACCCCAAAATTATACCAGCACAGCCAGGGACCACATGCCCAAGCACATAAGCCTGGAGGGGACATTTTTAAATTCAAACCATAACATTGAAAACTGTCATCTTAAAATGTGAGGTATTATGAGAGTTGCCATCATTAGGGATCTAGTTAACAAATCTTGTTTTCCCAAGGATACTCTTTCTTCAGGTCAGCAGATGCTGCTCCCTGAGCTTGGATTTTTATGTGTTATGTACTGGAATTGCTGAGGACAGTATGTAGAAATGCCAGAATCCTCCCACATGTGCCGTGATGGGGATCCTGACAACTCTCCTTATGGATTACCCTTAGGTATGCCGTGAATTTATACCAAACTACTAGGAGTTGCTAGATTTCAGTGAACAGTGAAATTTCACACCCCTTTCTTATGGTCATCAGCTTTTCTGTGGTTTTCTCCTTTACTTTCAGTGTTTGAGAGTATCATATGAATATTGTTCATAGTAAATAATAGCCTAATTTTGTTTGCTTTTTAATTAATTAATTAATTTTTTTAAAAAAAAGTTACCATTTCTCATTTAATATACCAATCCCAGTTTCCACACCCTTTCTTCCTCCTGCTCCCTCCACCTTCCCCTCACCCCCATCCAGCCTAGCACATTGCTTTGAGGCAGGACCAAGGCCCTCCTCACTATATATATCTAGGTTGACCAAGGTATCCCTCCAAAGAGAATGAATTTCAAAGAGCCAGTACAAGCAGTACTGATAAATCCTGGTCTCACTGCCAGTGGCTCCACAGTCTGCCCAAGCCATGCAACTGTCACCCACATTCAGAGGGCCTAGTTTGGTCCTATGCTAGTTCCCTTGCCGTCAGGCTGGAGTTGGTGGGCTCCCATTAGCTCAGATAAGCTCTTTCATTGGGTGTCCTCATCATGGTCTTGACCTCTTTGCTCCTTTTCTTACTCCTCCCACTCTTCGACTGGACTTTGGGAGCTTAGCCCAGTGTTCCGCTGTGGATCTCTGCCTCTGCTTCTGTCAGTTGCTAGATGAAGGTTCTATGATAACATTTAAGATAGTCATCAATCTGACTATAGGGCAAGGCCAGTTGTGGTACCCTCTTCACTATTGCTTAGGGTCTTAACTGGGGTTTTCCGTGTGGATTCCTGGGAATTTCTCTAGTGCCAGGTTTCTTCCTAGCCCCATAATGGCTCCCTCAATCAAGATATCTCTTTCCTTGTCTGCTGTCTGTCCTTCCTCCAAGTCTCCTTCACCCACCCCTTCTCTCCTTCTCTCCCCTCCTCCTCTCCCCTTGTTTGCTTCTTTTTATTTGAAACAGGGCCTCACTATGTAGCTCTGGCTGACCTGGAAAGCTGTGTGAACTACTTTCTGTGGAACTTTAAACTGTCTCTTCCCTGCCTTAGTTTTTAATTATGTATGTGTGCTTGTGCACATGGGCATGTACATGTAAGTTATGAAGCCAGAGGAGTCAGTCCCTAGGAGTTGAAGTGACAGGCAGTTGTGAGCCACCTAACTTGGGTGCTAGGAGTCAAACAAGTTCTTCAGAAGAGCAGGAAGCTCTTTCAACCTCTGAGGCATCTCTCGCTCCAGTGGATCTTGTCACTTTAGATATGGTTGCTGTCCCCGAGTAGAAGATCTGGGATTACAGATGCTTCTGTGTTTACCTTTACATGACTCTGGGACTCAAACTCAGGTCCTCATGCTTTAACAGCAAGTACTTGACCACTGAGTCATCACAGTGTTTGATTTATGGTTCCATGGATTAAACCCAGGGCCTTGCTCATTCTAGGCAAGTGCTCCACCACCCTTAGCCTAAGTCTTATTTCTAAGTAAATGAGTTGGTATTTTGGGGAAACAGACCTATCCTAGATTTTCACAAAGTACTTCATGTAGGTGTTCCCTGAAATTAGTGTACATCTGGAAAACATCTTTGAATTAAACAAATTTGTTTGCCATAGAGTTTCTCAGAGCCTTTTATATACAAGTACAAATTTAGGCTCTCTGAGAGGTAGATGATAGAATACAGTGTTCCTAAACATTTTCCTCCCTGAAGTGGTGTTAGTAATCAGACCCAGGACCTTGCGCATACTAGACAAGTGCTCTACCACTGAGATGCTGCCCTGTCCTCCTCAGACACACTCTGCCTGTTTGCATACTACAGAGCTGTAGTCCTAGAGTACACAATTTAGAATGCACGTTAGGATTTTCTTTATCCTCTTAAGTTCAACTTATTGAACAATAACCGTCCAGGAAACAGTTTCTACTCTGTGTCTTTAGCATCTCAACATGGATTCTTATCAACCAGCTGAGTCGAATTTTCCTTGAGAAACTGTGACACTAACAAATTTATGTCAGTTGAAACTAACTTCCTATGTGACTTAGACCACATTTTTCTTCAGCTAGCATTTTCCTTCCCCAAAGAAACTTAGTAATTTATTTCTGACCTCACACTCTTGGACTGTCTGATAAATTAAATTATACTAAGCCTCACTATTTTTGGCATAGTGTGATCATTTAGTTTTCTAAAAAGAGTAAGAATAGAAGAGATTTGTTTCTTTTAAAGTCAAGTGCACCATACTCTAAACGACCTTTTAAAGAGTGTGTGCTGAACAGACTTACTTTTATCTTCTTAAGGCAAGTTTAGCCAGCATGGCTAAGTTGTACCAGGAAGAAAAAAACTTCTCACTAAACCCTCAACTCTCCTCTGAGTAATGGCGGGGGATGAACCTAGACAGGGAGGGAATGTATAGAAAAGGCTGTAGGCTGACTGGGAGAGATAGGTAGATGAGAGCCAGCT